AAGAAAGAGGAGCGCAAATTGAATTCTCTCGTGTGTCCGTACTATATGGTATAGGTTTTGTCGAAAAGATGTATAAAACGCGATTCGTCTTCCCTCGTATCGGAGGAGGAAAAGAAAAGAGGTGGAGTAGCTTCCGTGTCTCCGGGCGATATAGCTGCAACTGTCGCTTGAAAAAGCCACTCGGGGAGCTCGCGCCCTAGTATATAGGTACAAGTACACACGTCGTTAGAGCCTCGTATAAGGTATCCTCCAAACGGACACGTGAGTGTATTATGTGCTATCACGGGTGTCCACGCGACGTTTTAAGCTCCGATGACTTCGTTAGCGCTTTTTTTTTTTTAGTTGGGACGTAAATGAAACGGTAAATTATGCTGAATTTTTCAGCTCACGCGTAGAGGTGTCGAACAAAAGGGTGGCTCTGACTTTTTTTTTTTACAATCAGATTTAGCAATAAATAAAAGTCGACGAGGGAAGATTTTTTTCATTTTCACGTGCGTACGTGTCAGTGAAAATGGTAATACATGATTAAATTTTAAAATTCAATTCGCACGGGAAAAGATAGCTTTTTCTCCCGAATAGACGTCAACGCGTTTCGTTGACAAGACGTTCTCGTTTCTACCGACACGAGAATTCGAGGCATCACTTCCAACCTTGATAATGACAGGAGCTTCGAGATAGGTGTACGCCATCATTTCGCTGGGAGTGTCCGTGCCCCCCCCNATTTGGGGCTAATTGGGCTCTTAAGTGAAAAAATCATCAAAAATCATACCAATTCTTTGGAAAAAAAAAATTTAGCAGGGAAACTGGAACAAAAGAACAAAACGTGTAAGCTTTGTGTATATGGTCCAAGGGAATATAACTGATGAACGAGTTAATCTCCACTAGGGGGAGAGTAAAATCTCGATGCTTTTTTTTTTTTTCATTATATCAAATTAAAAGCATGAATTTATCAAAATAAAATTTTTCTCCAAACGAGCACTTAGCCATTATTAATATTCCAACATGTGTCTCGTTTACGCATCCCCAAGGACTCGTTGTCCAGGGAATGTCGAGTGAAAGATTAATTAAAAAAAGGGCAACTTGGACTCGTCGCGACGACACGTTGGAGCGTTAACTTTGTCCGGTACAAAGAAAGGATGAGCACACGTATAATGACAGCGAAGGCGAGCTTTTTTATCCTACATCCTCGACTCGTTTGCTCGAGCATTAACGAAACAACTGTATTAAGGGGTGAAGGTGTTGCAATTAGTTCAAAGTGCTGGTGACACGCGATTATTAATTTCATGAAAAACTCCAAGGTGTAAAAGTGTTTACTCGATTTTCCGCGTGTTTCTTTGCCATTTGGACAATAAGCACCTACCTCCCGCGGTTTTGGGAGAACTCGAAAGACTTCATGAGCTTCGGAGTTTATTTAAAAGAACAAGAGAAATTCACACCCGTACGAAAAGACAAAGAGATGAAGAACAGCTAGACACGGTACGCCGAGAGCAGTGGTAATTAGAGCTGTGCATTTTATGATAATTTATTTGTTGAGAAGGAAAAAAACGATTAGTACTGGGTAAGGATGAGGGACAAATATTTTTCCCCAAAAATTACGTTTAGTGTATATATACGGCGCGGCACGTTGGGAGGTGCTTTTGGATTACCCGAAAAACAAGGGCGGAGGGTAGAATCCGTTTTGAACAATATGATCGAGCAGCACTTTGGGGAAAGTCGAGGAGGAAGCGGAGTTGTATATTCGGGGTATAATCGCATTATTTTCCATCCCCGAGCTCTGGATTGTGTTAATGCGATTCCCCTTTTGCAGTGCTCCGCGGCACAGCGGAATTCGAAACGATGGGAAAAAACTTTTCGGAAAACCCTGTATTTTAAATGAGAATTATAATTCATTTATCAATTTATGGGTTACATCATTGTTTAGGATAACCTTGAAAGATGGAAGAAGAAAAAAAAATTAGATTCCGTAGAAACGGCGAAGATGGCATGATTTCTACTTTTGCAGATGATTACCAAAAATCCTGAGAATTAAGCGGATTTGTGTACAGTTTTTAACGCTGGGAAATAAATTACCACAAAAATGACATCACCCATGTATATGATAGTCGCGGAACTCGGGATCGTAACAAACTCCCAAGGAAAATTCATAACCCACAGCAGGGGACTGGCTTTAAATTCCCTTGCAGTCAACTCGGCGATTAAGTTCCTCGTCCCCCGTCGGTTTTTATCATTTCGCGACTTCGGGGCAGTTTTAATCCTCGTCTCGGAGGACAATATCCACCGGCCCGGTCGTGATAATTACTTTCGAGAGCCCGACCATTCGCGCCAGCTGGTCTTCCTTCCAGTCTTTTTCTCTCTCTCGAAGCCTTTGTCCTCCCCGCTTTTCTTCACTCGGAAGTGCACCTCCACCGGGTTGATCTCGTCTTCCTCTCCTTGCTATTTTTTTTCTTTTCCACGGGAAACTTATTAGCCCGACGTTTTCGTTTAATCGTTCGTATGCTAAATTCACTCCAACCTCCGAACACTCGATTTATCGCCATTTCCCAGCAATAAAAGTAATCCTTTTGCTTATTTAAGCACAATCTAATTAAAATTTCCCACAACCGTTGATCCTTTGTGCTCCTTTATCCTTTGCCATGGTTTTTCTTTCACTCAACTCCACGGCATCTGCTGAGAAAATGCCTCTCTTGTAAATATTTTAATATATACCGTTGAGCACGCATCTTCCTCCGTAAACATCTTTCTCTTCTCATTTCATTACGAAAAGCTAAATTCATTAATCGCCCCTCCATCTCATCGAAAATTTGTAATTTAAATACCTCCCTGTACGATATCTCCCCTCGAGCCACGAGCGTAGTAATTTGTATCATGTGTATACATTTTTCCACTTTCGGGATTAAGTGTACACAGGAAATTCCCAGGGGCTCTAATGGTTTCGCAGCCATCTAAGCTCGCAGGTTTTCGTTGAACCGGCGTTTTTTCGACCACAATCGCCCTTTGGGATCTCCCTCTCGATCCTCGGCTTTCCTCGGGTACAGCCTTAATGCAGGAGCTCTCGTATTCCTCTACCTTTTTTTTCCCCCCACATTTTCTCGGTTTTCCGGCTCCCGGCTATTCGATGAGCTTTCGAAGGAAAAAAAAGTGCGACTTGCATCCAGAAAAACCTGCCTTTTCTCTCTGGTCACCGGGATACACGTTAGTCGCCGCTGCGAGCGAAAAATAAACAAAAACATTTTAAATCAATCGAGTCCTGTTGGATAGATAAACCACGTGCGGTGTGCTATCTCCGGCGGGTCCGAGATTTATATCGGACCGACCCACAGCCGCGCCGTTTGTCAGCCCCCATTATCCTTGGAAATTATTTATGGCTCCCTTTGCTTCCCAACTATTGTACTCCATCTACGGCAAGATTTGGGGCTAATTGGGCTCTTAAGTGAAAAAATCATCAAAAATCATACCAATTCTTTGGAAAAAAAAAATTTAGCAGGGAAACTGGAACAAAAGAACAAAACGTGTAAGCTTTGTGTATATGGTCCAAGGGAATATAACTGATGAACGAGTTAATCTCCACTAGGGGGAGAGTAAAATCTCGATGCTAATGAGCAATGGTCCGAAAGTTTCCGGGGGAAAAAAAATGGCAAATCGGAATATATGGGGTCGGCCGCGGGAATTACACGCGGCTCTTTTCGTTAATTAGCCGAGCTGGAACTCAATTAAAGACTCGGATGGGAATCCAAGATTTTTTTTTCCAGCTCGATCCCTCCCGGCGTTAATTCCTCGGTTTTGCATAAACGCGTGGAGGATGAGAAAAGAAAAAAAAAAAAAAAAAAAAAAAAAAAAAAAATGGGAGGATGAAGCAACGAAATGGCAAATGATAATTTGAGCAGAGTGTCGGAGCGGTAAAACGCTTTCTGAGGATACTTGAGCTCACACGGGCGCGAAAGGTGGGCGTGGGGAGACGTACAAGCAAAAGCTCGGAAAAGCAGAGCTTCTGGTCCTCCTAATTTAAATGGAACTTTCTTATAAAAAAGGCTGGGGGCAGCACTCGTGCCTCATAAAACTTTTCGGTCCTAATGAGAATCTACGAAAAAAAAAAAAAATTTAACACCAAAGAAATTTTCATGAAAACTTTAAGTATCGCACCTGCAGCTGATGTGTCCGTGTATAGAAAGTGAATTTTGACGTGACGAGCGGAGCTATTGGAGGATGAAAGATTTTGATCAATCGTTTGATGAAAACACGGGAATGCTCAATTGAATTAATTAGCCTCACTCGTTGATACTTGTGTCGATTGTCTGATAATTTTATAAATGGAAACGGTTTAGCGTTGCACTGATCTCACTCATCACGAACGTTTACTCATCCCAAATAAATTGAAATTGAAACGATATTTTATAAATTACCGATGCAAACGCTTAAAATACATCCAAGAGGTTAATTATAAATCGATGCACAGAGATCAAAGTCGAGTTGATCGGAGCTCCACAGTATTTCAGAAATTTTTCACGGCCCTCGTTTCACCCTCTGCCGCTGTTGGGTAAATTGAAAACTCGGTGCTAATTTGCCGATCGCGTCAGTCCACTCCGCTGATTTCGTTATCTCGTCGGAGCAGATCATGGGACATCGAATATACTTCCATCGCTTTTCTGCGGGCATGTGAGCTTATTCCACTCGGGAGGGTACAAATATATTTTACAAAATTAAATCAAGCAGCTCACCGAATTGAAAAAGAAAAAAAAAAAAACAATTCTCGAATCTTGGAAGATGAAAACAGTCTTGAGCTTTCCTTTGCTGTACGTTTGAAAAGCAATTATTCCATGAAAGCTAGAGGCCAGACAAAAGTTCCTCGGCTCGCCCAGCCGTGCCCAATAAGGCTTCCATTGAAAAGTGAAGAAACAAATAAAAAAGCGCTACAAAGCTACGTAAGAAGAAGAAGAAGAAGAAGAAGTGGAAAAAAAGTTATGACGAGCGCGGTATATAATAAAGCAATATATATTGCCGACCTTGATTTGCCGGCATCTCTTGGCAGCGATGGATCTTGAGTGCTTTCTGAGTGCCTCCAGAGGAAAGGGTCGTCGGGCCTGCTGTCCTGCTCAGCTTCCGGGCTTCCACCTCCCGCTCTCCCCTTCTCTTTCTCTCTTCTACCAGGACGATGTTGTTTCTTTTTCCCTTTGTCCTTCTCTCACTTTTTTTTTTTTTTTTTAAGAAAAAAGTAGAAATTTTTTTATTCTTCTTCTCCCGTTCCCGCTAATTCTTCACTTTTTTCCCTTTGGCTCTCTGTGCAAGGACGGTTTTTCGATCGAAAAGTTTGGACGCCGAGAGCTTTTGCCGCCCGCGCCGGAAATACATTTGAATTTTTACTGACCACCGGCGATTGGTGGGAAGTTTTTTTTTTTTTTTTTTTTTTTTTCAATTTTATGTTACCTATGCAGTACAAGTGAAAAATACATACGCGTTTGTGCAAACGATATTCAAAAACACGTTAATGCAAGAAAAGAAATTTCAAATATCTCATGGAACCCTCCCCACCCCAAAAAAAGCTCTCGTATCGGTATATTAACAACGTCCAAACTTGACGGGGAAAAAACATCTTATGGGTACAGAGCAAAACACCTCGAGTAACCAACTATACACCAAAGGCCCCGGGGGTATCACTGCACTTGCGACCTCAATTTTACGGTGCAACAACTCTCACAGACTCTCCAAATGATCACCAGTAAAAAAAGAAAAAAAAAAAGAAAAAAAAACAAAAAAAAGGAAAAGAAAAAAGAAAATTTTTTATCCTCACAGCCCCGGAAAAAAAAGGGAGGGGGAAAACCTCTCGTTTACCCGGCAGCCGGTGATGCTGAAACGTGCGTATTATACGCGCACCGGTGAGCGAGTATACTATCTCGCGGCGCTGCCTGGGCGATGACTGAGCACGGACGAACGGACCGGTAGGAGGTACCAGCAGCCGAGCGGGCGTCTCTCGCTTTGTGTGTGTGTGGGTGTGCAAGCTCCCCACCCCCCCTCGAGGCATTGTGTATATATATACATCTCTGATATCCTACGCAAGGTTGTACATGTATATACGTATGGTTACATACTCCTCCTCCTTGTTGATTGCGGAAGAATCTCCTCGTGTGCCTACTTATAGGCGCCGGCGGAGGTATGGAGAGATACACATACAAATTCTCCTTTTGGGCGAGATATTGTCAAGCTTTAGGGGTGAATATGCGAGAAGCGATGTTTGTTTTCCTCCCACGTCTTTCTTTGGGGAAAATTTATTGTGTGCTCGGTATGTGTACACCGTTGGGTATATATAATATGATAAAGAGTGGGCTTTTTTTTTCCGAACGGAATAATAGCTTCGCGAGGAGGGAGGAGCGACTGTAGGTTTATTGTGAGATGGCAAAAAAATACTATAGAGCCGGTCGATCGAGTTTTTCGCGAAGCAAAGTTTTTTGCTTTTCCCTTCAAAAAATTGTGTCGGTGGATTTTAGAGGGTCATCGGGGGGCTTTTAGCATATTGCGCGTAAAAAGCTCCGTTGTCGCGGAATTTTGGGGAATATGCGCGCGTGACTGCGAGGATGAGAAAAATGGGGGAGTTCTTTACTGGCTGATATATAAAAACAAATTCATAATTTCAACGAAGTAGGTTAACTGAAAAATTATTATTATTTTTCATCATTACGTACGATTACCATTGTTGTTATTTTGATACCCCTTTGTTTTCCATGTAATGACATCGCGATGAGGTGAGTCATTGCACTTCGATTCGACAAGAATAACCACTGGTTTGAAACTTATGAGAAAACTGTAAGGTAATATTGTAAATCATTTAATTGAAATCACTACTCATCATTTTTTTTTTTTTTATTTTTAATTACATTATTACGTGTAACAACACCAGTGCAAATGATGCGTATGTAAGTTTTGAAAAACATCATTTTTGTAACTTGAGAAAAATTTTACATCCTTGTGTACTGAATGTTGCAATAATTCTAAGAGACACTATTGTTCGAATTTTTAGATGAGTTTGTAATTGGCGTTTGATCTGTTTTACCCCCAGAGGCTGGCCACCTGGTGGATGATAATATAGTCACCGATTTACCGATAACAGCTGATGATCAAACACGACAACGAAGTATATAAATATATATATGTATAAATGTTTACAAATAGATAAACGTGATGTAAAACATCACGAATGCAAACATGAATTGTTCGTTAAATTTTTTTCCAAGTTATTAAATCACGGTATTTTCTAATATTAGTTGAGTACAGTTTTTTGTACAAAATTCGTGTCTGCAAATTAAGTTTTAAGTTCCAGAAAAGGTATTTGCTGAGAGCAATCATGAACAGTATTTTGAAGGATGGCATTGTTGGTGGTAAGTTGTTTTAGAATTTCTTAAAACGAATAAATAAGTAAATAAATTTTATTTACTGCAGAAAAGAAGATTTGCCCTTACAAAGAAAAGTGCTACAGAAAAAATCCTGTTCACTTCAATGAAATGTCACATCCACACTGTAAGTACTTGTGAATTGTAATTTGAAAAAAATCATTAGGAATATATATTAGTACATTTACAGTCAATAAACTTATCCTAGTGGAAAAGCTGATCATCGATCAACTGGATGCAACCATTTCCATTCCAGAAAATTTAAGTTTCGAATGCTCCAACAGATCACAGCTGTTGGATCAGCTCAAAGTGTTACAGGTGGTTTTGAAAAAGGAAAGGGACAGGAATCAAAAAAATGATCCAGCTGAAACTTCTCAAGAGAAACCTTCTGAAAACCGTAATCCATCCAATGAAGATAAAGAATTGAAAGAAAAAATCAAAAGGCACAAGCAGGCTGCCTTGGAAACAAGAATTGCCAGATTGAAAGAAATGGATGCCAAAGCTGTTTATCCAAAAGATGATTCCGAAGGAGCTACAAGTAAGAAAAGATTTTTAGCAAACACTAGCAGTAGTGCATCTCCTAAAAAGGCGAAAAATCAGAGAGAGTCTCAAGGCACTTCAAGCGGATATTCGAGTGTCTCGGATGCTGATTCTCAGAGCACAAGTAGCCAATGTAGTACAGATAATTCATCTTCAAATGAACCAATTATAGAAACTTACATGTCTTCAACCGATAGAACCCGAAGAGAAAGAGTAAGAGAGGACGCAATTGCTAGGATGCGACTGGCTGGACACAAAGTTGATCTAGTCCATCCTGGAGACTTTGCATTAAAGTATGCTTTGTCAGCTCCCTACCACTATTTTCTCAACAGAGTGGAAAAATCACAAGTTACACATGATCAGCAGTTTACTGTGTCCTTTCCTGAATTGCTGGATGTTAGTCTAGGAGAAATCGTAAACAGTTTGCACATAAACTTTATGGTTGAAATCGGATGGTTGTGCCTTCAGTACTTACTTGCAGCTCAGAATGCAAAGATGACAATATTTTGTGGGCAGGTTTGCGATGCTCTGGATAAATATCCAGAAAACATCCGAGTGGAAATCATACAAATGCCTGGACCCTATGGAATTCATCATTCAAAAGTATCACTGTTTCAGTACAGCGACGGTGGAATCAGAATTGTCGTCTCGACAGCTAATATTTACAGCGACGACTGGGAAAACAGAACTCAGTGGTAAGAATACAACACAATAATCCGCCCTGTGCAACTGATAGGCCTTTGTCGAAAATTCATTTTTAATATTTCAGTGTCTGGATGTCGCCACACCTGCCTCGTCTACCTGATTCAGCGAATCCTAGCGACGGCGAGTCTCCAACGAATTTTAAAAAACATTTCCGTGAATATCTCGTGGCATACAAGAACGCAAAAATGGTTGAATGGGAAAACATAGTTAAAAAAGCCGACTTCTCATCGGTAAATGTGTTTTTCGTTGCGTCGGTACCTGGAAGCCACAAGGGCTCGTCCTTAAATATGTGGGGCCACAGAAAACTTGGGTATATCTTGTCCGAGCATGCTATCCTACCTCCGGACGCTCCTCAGTGGACTATAATAGCTCAGTGCTCGAGTATAGGTAATCTGGGGCCGAATTTCAATAGCTGGATTCAGCCAAATATCGTTTCGTCAATGGTAAGAGAAAAAGCTAAAGGTCTGAAGAGCGATCCGAACTTTCATTTTGTTTATCCAACGTTGAGGAATTACGAAGAGAGTTTTGACTGCAGGAAAGGCACTTGTTGCTTGCCATACTCGAGAAAGAGCCACGAGAAACAGCAGTGGATCAAAAATCATATGTAGTAAGTTCATTAAAATTAGAACAATTTTTCGTGCAAATCGTTGGCATGTGATAAAAAATTGTTTGTTTTTTTTTTCACAAGTCAATGGAAAGCAGATGAAACTGGGAGAACAAGAGCAATGCCACACAGCAAATGCTACACGCGTTTGTCGCCCGATCAAACCGAAATACCGTGGTTTGTGCTAACAAGTGCCAATTTGAGTAAAGCAGCCTGGGGCTCAACAGCCAAGACTGGAAACTCTTTTTATATAATGAATTACGAAGCTGGAGTTGTGTTTATACCCAAGTTTATCGTGAGTATTTTATTTCTGCCTACGCATATACATTGTTCACTTGAAAGTTTTGTTTTCATCGTTTTTTATTGGTTCTCATCTAGACAAAACAAACGACATTTCCAATAAAAAATTCGAGCTCCCCCGATGTACCAGTTTTCCGGTTGCCGTACGATTTACCGTTGACTCGATACGGATCCAATGATGAACCATTTGTCGTTGAGTTTATGAGTGACTAATACTTGGAAAAAACCACGTGATATCCTACATGAATTTTTTTTTATTGTGTAAATCTTAAAGTTTTGTTAAAAATGCATTGATTTACTTTTTTTTTTTTTTGCAACGTACAATTGATCTATTTTTGTAAACCATAATACAATGTTGGAAGTGGCTTTAAAAATACATTTAATTTTCCTAGAAAACACCTTTTCGATATTATTTCTTCCTCAAAATCCGGCAGTGTTTAAATTTTCGCGGTAAATGAGAACTTTAAATTTTAAATAATTTAAATCTCCTTTGCGCACTCGCGCGATCTTTAAAATTACCACGTGACAATGGTTGCATATATTTTTTTTGCGTGTGCCCTTCGTCACATGTAGGTTATAGTTTGTTTACGGCACTTTTGACTCTTGACTTTAACGATGTAACAAAATAAAAGTTAAATTCAATACTAAGTATAGTATATAGGTATGCACATTGAAATAGTATCTATTCTCTTAATGCGTAGAATTAGAAAATAGTTTACCCCGTACTAAACATTAGCCGATCGAACATAAGTAACTAGCCGGTCTAGTATTATCAGGATGAATAAAGTAAACTTCGATTTTGACATTAATTTAAGCGACACTGACAGTGAAGATGAGAACGAGGAAGTTGAGACAAGCAAGAACAGAACAAAAAAGAATGACTTTGACGTTTCGTCGACGGATGATGATGAAGAAGACGATGAGGCTGAAAAAGAAAAAATTAGAGAAGAAATATTGAAACAAAAGGCTAATGCCATAGGTCTCGATGCAGTCATTTATTGTCATAACGAAAACGCAGAGTACGGGGAGGAAGAAATCCTGAATAAAACCCTGGAGTTGAAAGTATCAACGTGGATGATGATGTACGATAATTTGGAAGAACCAAGTGAGTTTGCCATGATGAGAGACGTAAGCGTTGGTATTGCGGAAAAGTTACGCAATATCAATGTGACAGCCAGCGAGTTTGGTAGCTTTGATGACAAGTACAAGGCCACTGCGCCTTATCATTTCTTCCTGACCACGGTTCCTGACCAACCAGAAACATTCGACCAGTCCTACTCTGTGTCCTTTCATGAGATAATAGATCACACTCTGGGTGAATTAATTGACAGTCTTCATATAAATTGTTTCGTCCAAGTGTCATGGATTATCACCGAGTACATGATTGCCTGTCAGCGACCTAAAATGACAGTGATTTATGCAAACTGTAGTGATCCCGATACAATTTCTACTCAACCCTTTGACATTGAGTTGCAACAGGTGCATACAACTGATTATGGATGCATGCACTCTAAACTATCGATATTCAAGTACAAAGGTGATAAAATTAGGATTGTTGTATCAACTGCTAATATGTATGCCATAGATTGGACAACGAGAACTCAAGGGTATTTTCAATTCTTTGTTTATTTGCTGAGTTCCTGGATGCCATTATTACGTTTGAATGTTTTTCTAGCTTGTGGGTATCTCCATTTCTACCTCTACTCCCAGTTGATGCAGATCATACGGATGGAGAGTCGGTCACGAATTTTAAAAAAGACTTTATCAAGTATTTGTCCAAACACAAGGAGCCGCAAGTATTTGGCTGGTTGGGATTGATACATAAAACAGATTTCTCAGCTGTCAAAGTATTTTTTCTGGGATCTGCTCCTGGAAAACACGAAGAGCCTGAAATCAATTCATGGGGACAAAATAAACTTAAAACAATATTGTCTCAACATGCAGTTTTACCACATAATTCCAAAGAGTGGCCTGTAGTGGCTCAAAGTTCTGCTGTTGGTAGCTTTGGGCCTAACTACTTGGCCTGGCTGTCGTCCATAGTTCATTCAATGTCTTTTGAGAAGAAGAAGACTTCTGGGAACGATATCATATTCATGCCAGAGTTTAAATACATATTTCCATCCCAAGAAAATTATCTAGGATGTTATGACGATGGGCTGCAGGGAACATGTATTTTGTACAGCGAAGAACTTCATTTGCGGCAGCCGTGGATTAAAGATTATTTATAGTAAGCCATATTTTCTTATATTCATAGAAAAAATTATATCATAGCCGTTTCAATGCTCTTTTCTATCTTCAGTCAATGGCAGGCAAATATAACAAAGCGCACTTTTGCTATGCCTCATTTAAAATGTTATACAAGAATATCGCCAGATATGACTCAAATTCCCTGGTTTGTCTTAACAAGTTCCAATCTTGGCAAAGGCGGTTGGGGAAAAATGTTCGTAAATTGGGGAAAAAATATTCTCAGCATCACTAATTACGAAGCTGGGATAGTCTTTATTCCCAAATTCCTTGTAAGTACATAGAACATTGTTTTTTTTCTCTATTCTGTCTGCCTATTTTTTTAAATGTATGTAAAATTTTTAAGATCGATAGAGACACTTTTCCAATAAGTGAGTCGGCTTCTTCGGAAATTCCACCTTTTCTATTGCCTTATGACGTGCCATTAACTAAATACAGACCAAAGGACAAACCTTATTTTTCACCTACACACGAACCACACATCTCAGAAAAACCAATTGAGCAAGGTGAAATGGATCCAGACGAGTACGAGACAGAAAACTGTAATATGTAAAATACATACTCACGTGTTATATACTTTTTTATTATATTTATATGTTTTTTGTATTGTCCTGTACAAAACAGTCTAAAATGATGTGATATATGCTCAGTTACTAGAAACGTAAATTAGTATGAAGTTGAAAAATGCGATCGTATAAGATTTGTTTATAATTACAGAAAAGCACAAATGCTTGTTTCAGTTACGATTCGTACAAAACTGCCTAACACTAAACTTATTTTCATATAAAATGACTATTTAATTGGTGAATCGAGTATTACATAATTTAGTAACTTAGTTGTAACTACATGACTAGAAATAGTTAAGGTGAAAAATAACAAAAATTATTTTCATAATATTTTCTATGTAAGCAAGTTGCCTTGACCATAAATAGATGGTAATTTAACAAATATTGACTATTTTTCGAGTAACAAGAAACGAAATGTATATAATGTTTATTTCAATAAATTATTTTTTAAGAGAAAATTTTTTAAAAAAGAATCCTTTGAATTTTCCGCTACGAAATCTGTGACTAATCAACTTTTGTGTCAGTAACTGTCGGCGTCAGCAAATTATCAAAAAATCCATAGATATATAATGCACATGATGCACAATAAGTTAGGCATACGTACAGAGACGGGAGAGACGTGAACTTTGTAGCACAAGCAACAGAGTGAATAAGACCGTACTTTTCATGATTATATTTAAATATTGTAACACTATTATAAGAATATATTAAATATCTAGCATTACTAGTGCAGATCGTTTCAGTTTGGCTATAGTTCATTTATTGTTTTATCTAACGAGTGCAAAAACATTGAAATGTCTACCAATACAAGTGTATGTAGTTTCGCTGCAAAGTATCGAGCTACAGCTCCTTATCACTTTTTTTTAACTCCAGTTTATAACGAGCCTGCCACTTATAACGGGCAGCATTACACAGTTTCATTCCACGAAATCATGGATCGTGCTTTGGGGGAACTAGTTGAGTGCTTTCATATCAGTACTGCAATCGATTTGGAGTTTATTTTTTCACAGTACAAAAGAGCTTCTCAAAAGCCTAGAGTAACTTTAATTTACTGTCACAACCTTACATTTAATGACTCCGACTCTGACTCTAATTCTAAATTGGATTTTGATTCTGAGGTACTTGACATTGATTATAAACAGTACAAAAAAACTCATCGAGAAGGTCATATGTTTTCAAATCTATCAATACTAAAATATAGGGATGACAAAATCAGACTTGTTATTTCCACAGCTAGTCTGTGTTTTGAAGATTGGAATAGAGGAATTCAAGGGTATACAATATTATGTATTCGTTTATTTATGTTTTATATACAAGAAAATAAATGTAATGATTAGATTCATTTTCTTCAGATTATGGGTATCTCCATTTCTACCTCTACTCCCAGTTGATGCAGATGATACAGATGGAGAGTCTGTCACAAATTTCAAAAGGGATTTTATTGAATACTTGTCGGAACACAAAGAGCCACAAGTGTTTGGCTGGTTATCTCTATTGTACAGAACAGATTTTTCTTCTGTCAAAGTATTTTTCCTGGGATCTGTTCCTGGAACACATCAGGGTCCTGCATTGAATTTGTGGGGACGAAATAAACTTAAAAAAATACTGTCGGAACACGCTGTTTTGCCGGAAAATGCTAGAGATTGGCCAATTGTCGCTCAAACTCATGACTTAGGATATACAGGGGAAACGTATTTCAATTGGCTAAACTACAATGTTCAAGCAATGGCGATGGAAAAAGATAAAAAAATAATATATACACCAGAATTTAAGCTTTTATATCCATCTAAAAAAGACGTTCCTACAGAGCTTGAAGAGATGTCTCATTGTTATGAAAAAGATTTTTATCTCAAACAGCAGTGGATCAAGGAGTACTTGCAGTAAATTTTTTTTTCTTTTTAATAATTGATATAACTATGTAATGTAGATGTGATTGAATCTTAGATATTTTTTTTAAGTCAATGGAAATCAGAGAAAATAAGGCGCTTACAAGTATTTCCAAGTCAATTCAGTTGCTACACTAGAATTTCACCCGATGGTACGAAAATTCCCTGGTTTGTACTAACGAGTATGAGTATGCTAAGGAACTCTTGGGGACAGTTTTTACGCAGAGTTAAAGAACCTCATCTTTACATAACCAGATACGAAGCCGGTGTTGTATTTGTTCCGAAATTTCTTGTGAGTTGACGAATCATTTTATTTTTGGGACACAACTAACATTTATTAATTTCAATCTTTTCATTTGAAGCTATTAACTTATATTTGTGGAGAAAAAAATTAAGAAAAAAACAATTTTTTATAGGTAAAACAAGATACGTTTCCGATAAAACAAAATAGTTCTTCAAAAATGCCAATATTTTTGCTACCATTCGATTTGCCATTGACTCCTTATGAACCAAGTGACGAGCCGGTCTGCAAGCCATCAGTCAAAAATGAAAGCTCAAGCGCACTTGAAGATGAATTAATTGAAAAAATAGCTCTTTCTCATACGTAAACCCATGTATTCACATTCTGACAGATGCAAGTAAGAAGGCGTTAATTCTCATTCTCGTTAAAAAAATTCTAGTACAGGTTCTTATTTGAAATTTTTTTTTTTTAGTAAAAACAATCGCACAAAAATCATATCAAAGACATTTTGGAACGTTTTTTACATTGAGAGCAAGATAATAGTTCAATAAAAACAAACGTGTCTTTAAAATTTGTTTTCATATTTAATCGGTAACAGAAAAACGAAAATGTACCGTTTTATCAGCGTTTATCTAACGTATTGTAATACAGTTAATATTTTTCTGTCACAAGTAACTGGTGATAACACTGATAACATTTCACTGATAGCATTTCTACAACATCACGTTTTATACAGCCACGCAAAATCATAAAATTTTTTTTTTAACACCGTATTGCGTACGTATTTTTAATCGAAATTATTCTATGATATGTCTTTTTTTTGTTTTGCTCTGTTTTACTCTAAACTACGTAAGCTTGTGCCGCTCAAAAGAGATAAGCAACGCTGATCGATTGTACACTAAGTCAATTCTGACGTCATTTCTTGATGCATGTACATTTAATTGCTTTTTTTTTTCTAATGACGTGCTCGAACGATTTTCTGGAATAAATACGTTTGTTTCTTACGCCATACATCCTTAAATTTTATTTTTACACGGCTACTTATACTTTTGTTGATATTTGAGTTGAACATGGCTTGATTTTAAAACTCAATTTCAAAAGAAGTTGACAAAGAAAAACACATTATTTGCTTCCTCTTCTTCTGCTTCTTCTTGGTAATAGATCGATCATAAGTTTACACACTCGGGTAATATGAATTTAAAATTTATTTTCAAAGAGTAAAGCCAAAAAAAAATCGAGAAAAAGATAACGAGTTGGTTTAAAATGTTATGACACACCGATAATAAACTTTTTTAGTATCTAATCACGATGAGAAATAAAATTATGCCACTATACTTGAGCGAAAGTATAATACTTGCAGAATCCAAGTACGTATATATACGCACACGCAACGTTGCGAAATTCATGTCTATTACTTGGATAAAAGAAAAAAACATTACAACTTATAGAGCTCGTGTATAAATCATTGATGGTAACAAAGCAGAGTGCGCTGACCGGCAAAAACTAATGCGTATATTTGCAATACGAACGATTTCACGGATCGTCGCGAAATTTTTAGACAAACTCACGAATTAGCACCCAAACGATACTTCCACGTAGCGAATCTCGATTCCTTGCAAAATGCGCGTGGAAATCGTCACTTTTGGGCTTCCCTTTTCCGATGAATCTGCGAATAAGAGGTACCCACTTGTAATATTTACAGCTCGTGGTGTTTCATGTATCAAATTTGTACTGTAAGCGAGCGTGCCATGTCCTACTTCCTCCCTCAACAGCACGTTGGTGGAAAAATCCAGAAAACATAGGAGCAATCAAATATGGAAATCGCAAAACATCAGGCGTACAGTCCATAAATATATACATATTACGGTGGCAATAATCACAGCAACCTGAATATCTATGCAAATGTCGAATCATCATCATTACCATTAGTGATGGATTTTAACGCGAGGCGTTAGTACTTTAGTGGATCACAATATAAATGCAATGCACAACATAATATGTATATTATATATATCCACGCTTGTTTTATCACTATTCTGGTAACGCACACGTGTGTGTACATAAGTACATCTTCAGCATTGCTAACGAGCATTTCGCTACCGCTGCGAACAATAATAACGAATGTACATGCTAACTGCAGAGTATTACTATGGCCTTTGTTGCGTTTTACCCATTTTAGCCATTTATTCTCACGTTCTTGCGTTTATCTTCGATCTTCATGCAACTCTTTACGTTTCACATCAGGCTTGTGTGGGGTTTTTATTCTTCTACGTACCATGTGGTTATTGCAGAAAAAAAAAATTCATTCGAGGTCATCAAGGATATATTTAGAAAACATAGGCAATTTACCTTCTCCTGCGTTACACGCCTAAAATCCGCGTTCTAACGGTGTAATAATTTACTAACCGGGGGATTCCCCGCTTTAAGTATAAGCAGGGTTCTCTATATATACTTAAATACGTCAATGTAAGATTTTGATTATTTTTTCCTTGTATACTTATCTCGCGAGTCGTTAAAAAGAGGCATTCGATGATTCATGTAAATTTTTAGCTTTCCAAAAAACGCGTTAATGCCATTCAAGGGAAACGTTCGAAATTTTACCTGTCTTGATTCCTCGAAAAAAGAAAAAAAAAATTTAAAACAATACCGACGTGAACCTAACAAATGTCCCTCCCCCCGATTGGCTCCAAAAAGCTCAAGCTCTACCTTCTTGTAAACCTGTGGTGCGAAATATATTTGTATGCACAATAATTATATAGAAAATTGTACTTGCATACCTCTCGAATTCCGTGTAAGTAAAAGCATGCACATAATTATACGTTCAAGCTCTCAGTGATGAGGAGGGGGAGGGCGAGCTTTTGGTTTCGCTGGTGCACGAGTATGCAACACTTCCACCTCCTTGCTATATTATATATAGTTCAATAATCTTACTTATCCGCGTATGAGAAGGAGCTGCATGACATCTACTTAACAATATTCCCACCCGGAAACACGCGTCCTTTTGCGCTCGCGCGCTTGCGCCACATGATCTCCTCTCCCTCCGGCGCTTTGTTCTACACAATATATGTATACATACTATACGTGTATAGCTGTGGGTGTACCTGCACCGCCACCGCGCCACCACCGAGAATCTGCCCTCGTAGTTGGCGTTGTCTCTCGAGTGCGTGTACAGCCAAGAGTGTGGCCGGCAGTCGCGTTGTGCAGGCCGCCGCGACAGGTGACGGCCCACCTGCCCCGTTCTTCATCTCGCGTTTTTCGTTTCGGTGATTCTTTTTGTGTTTATCTTCCCACCCCTTGCTCCCTTCCGCGAGTGCCCGAGTGTCCTTTATACACAGAGGGGTATGAGAAACAGAGACGTCGGTCCCGAGGTAAGGCCAGTTCTTCGATCTTTGATGGTGCAACCACGTACAGGGTGGTTGTTTTTTTTTTTTGTGATGGGGTGGTGATGCTAAGGGTGGGGGGTGGATGTAAATAAGATCCGAGGGGGGGGGGGCATTCGACTCAACGAGACCGTCGTGTGCAGCTGACACGGAGGGTGGAAGTTTCGTCCTTGTTGTCGCGCGGGGAGCCAAAGTGTTTTTTCTTCAATTAAGAATATTTCCGAGTTACTCTCGAGGGTGCATCGTCGAGACTCTATGACAATCTTTGACTTTGCCTTCAAACACGTGTCATCGATTTTTTTTTTTTTTTTTTTTTTTTTTTTCACACATTGAAAATGCAAATTTATACCCAACAATGTATATAACAGTTGTTCGCGAGTTTTCAGCGAAACTGCACTTTGAATACATTTCAATAAAATCAAAGCGATATCCAGCTGGAATATCTAGGAGGCTAATTACAATTTCGCCTGACTCGAGTCTTTTATTTCCAACCGATGTATACACGTGTACTGTATAGTAGCCAAATGAAAAATGGACTTTACTCGCCCCAGCTGATGTATGTATATGTACGCCACATTATCCGTTCCTTTTTTTTTTGTTACTATTTCGATGGTTCAATGCCAAAAAAAAAAAAAAGGTTTCACTCGAGTACTGAATTCTCAAAGTTATTTATACTATTAACTTGGTGTTGAGAAAAAAAAAAAAAAATGATAAAAACGTATTAATAATAATTACTCGGTACCACGTGAAATTTACGTAATCCGTGGACTTTAGTCAACTGGGTCGCTCAATCTAACCCCATGACCAACTAACCCATAGCGGCGCAACACCCACGTATTTACACACACGAGACGCGGACGCCTTTCGTTTTCGCCCGCATATTATGACACCGTATACCAAAGGAAGCGCTAATCCGTGAGATTTTCCTTTGGTCTTGGATATAAGAGGTAATCAATTACAGACGACGGAAAACATAGCATCACCGGCAAATAAGTGCTGACGAGTACGAGCGATTCCCCCCCCCCCCACCGATGGATCGAGATCGGTAACTCTCGAGAAAACCGGTATTGCGAAGCTCGCTCGTGTGTTTGTGCGTGAACGCGCGCTGTTTTCGATTTCTTTGCTGCAATCCATCGCGTTGCATTCTAACCACGTCGACGGTTCCTTCGTGTACACATATGCACGTGATTACCAAGTCACTCCCTGTATAAGTATGTAGTCAACTGGGCTACGCGCATTGGAAAATTTCGTGGGAGTGTGATAATACACCCATCCACGTTTTATACTTTCTTGCAGGCTTAGCTTCTTTTTTTTTTCTATTTCAAGCATAGGTGTGTGTGCGTATAAAAAACTGACGTGGACGATCGAGTCAGCAATTGGTGGGAAAAAAACCAACAACAACATGGTCATCCATCAGCGAGTAACTCGATCGATGCACGCGGGTTTTTTTTTCTTACTGAAATACGCAATTAAGTAAGTACTTATATATAGTGACGACGTGGCTGGCAAGTGGGCGGCGTTTTTTTTTTTTTTTTTTTATTGTCGCTCCTCGTGATTCAACGCGTACAGTTCGGGGGAAACGTTTGCTTCGATGCACGTGCGTCACCTTATAAAGAACTTGGTCGAGTGAATAACTTTTTTTTTTTTTCCTTTTCCCACTCCTGGTCCTCTGTTCGTTTTCCCACGTGTCCCGTACAAATCGTCGGTCATTGGGCTATACGCGGTGGGCATCTCCGTGGATGATACTTGTGGCATTGTCTTCGTTCGAGTGGCCTTTTCTCCTTTCTTGGAGTCCCACAAGCAGGTTGGACTTTTTTTGCCATTCACAGTAAACTAACGCATGATATTTACGTACGGAACTGAGTGATAAAAGCCAATCACAAAGGCGCACTCTTTGGAACGAAAATATTGACCTCCGATGTTTCGCTTCCGCTTCGGAATGGACTTACTTGGGTTTGCTCACGCAGTGCGCAGTTGTACGGGAATTTAAATTCTGACCAACTTTGCGAGCGTCGCCGGGGTTTTTCTTCCGTCGCGCCGGTAAAAGTCGCGGAAGCTCGTTTTGTTTCCGTTTTGGACGATTGTTCCCCAAAAAAGACCACGTGTGTCTTACCCGGAAAATAAAATCATGAGGCTGTGTAGAAAACCCTTGGAATTAGAGAAATAAAGTTTAAAACGAATATTTCACGCTTTTTTTCGAGAAACGGACATTTACGGAGCTCGAAAGCCTCGAGACTATTGCTCGATAGAGTCGGGGCGTGTGACCTAGTCTTGGAGGAAGAGTAATGCACCTGAGGGCTTTATTGCTGTAGGACGTATTATGCGCTTCGCAGTAAAACGGATACCAAGTGTGTTTTGTTGTAAAGTAAATATTCCATTGTTGGCTTTTTTTTTTTTTTTTGGTAAGTCAATTAATCGATCTACTTCGTAAATATATATACCGATACGCGAATAAATCGATAAAAACGCGACTCTCTACGCAAGGGTTTTATTGCACTAAACATCGAGCTTTAAACTTATTTCAAGAGCCCCTCGACAATTTTACAAGTTGCTTTTACTGGGGTGAAAAAAAAAGATCGAGCTCTTCCGTGTTCTTTGGGCAGCGTATTTGGTGGTGCGGATTGCGCAACTTGGCTTGTTGCACGATTTTTTATCGGCCGCTGGAAGAACATGCCTGTAGAATACCAGATCGCGAGTTGGCTTTGGTGTGTGTGTACTTTGACAATTTATTGGATTTTTTTTTTTTTTTTTTTTTTTTCGTAGAGTTTGTAGAAAATTTGATTAAAACCTCATCCTCATAGGTGGTGCGGTACATCACATTACATAAAATGATCGATCGAGTATCAATGTACGCGCAACGCAAAAAAAAAAAAAATATGTGTCATGAAAATTTTCCGAGAGAACTTTATGTTGCCACCATCGTAGGCTAGACTTAATTTCCGCACCGTAGAAAATTATTTCACTTGTACCAGATCTCAAGCCCCGAGGCTTTAGACACATGATCCTCAGTCAAAAAATTTAATAAAACATTCTGTTTTTTAATTTTTTTTCGGATAAGTGTCAAATTAAAAAAAAACTCACGCGTCATTGGTCATCCCTCAAAAAAAAAAAAAAAAAAAAAAAAGCTCAAGGAAAAAATAAGAAACGCAAAAGTTTACAGATGAGGGTTAAAGAGAAGCCATTGGTAAAGCGTAGCTAAGAAAAGAGACTAATTTTACGTGATGGTACGTGCGCCCATGTGTACATGTATACGTGTGTACATGTTTCAGGTGAAAAACGAAGTGCTCCCTTTCAGCTACGTACAGCAGTTCATCTCACCCCTGCATCACTGATGAGAAGAAGAAGAAGACGACGACGACGAAGCTAAGCTCTTTGCTGCCTTATCTCTACATTTGCGTGCCTACGAAAAAAAAAAAAAAAAAAAAAAAGAGAAAAAAAAAGATGACCGCGAGCGAAACGACAAGCTCGGCAAGCTGCTGCTGCAAGCCGCCTCCGTTGTCGGGAACGATATTCAGCTGAGTCTTCATGTACAAGATGTCGAGAGGGATTTCCCACGCCGGAGTCGATAGGCCACTGGACGTTTTTTTTGGCCAGTGCCTGCTGATCAGCCAAGGGGACGCACGCTCGTAAAAATCCACGTGAGCTCGCGTTATTTCGCATGAAACTATTTTTTTTCTCTGTACTTGAATAATTTGACCGTAAATCATACTTGTATCCTGCCACTCGAATGCTGCTCAAAAATCACAATTTACATTTATACACCTTTTCACCTTCAACTTCAACACCATCACCTCTTCTCAGGTGTAAATAAGCCTCATATTTACGAGTGGAAACAAAATATAATTGCAGGTGGGAAGCTCAAAAGTTCCATCTACATAATCATCAAATCAACGAGGGAAAGAGAGAGGGGGACAAAAGACGAGGATTATGATCACCTGCTGGGTACTGGTAGCGGTGCTCGGTGCTCTCGTGCTCCTCCACGCGCTCTTCGAGGTCCACTACTTCCTGCGCATGTTCACCACCGTATTCTTTGCTCGCTTTTGCCGCAAACGCGTGCACATACTCGACGAGACTTCGGTTTACGGTCAGTATATGTTTGTTGCACGTGTCTTACCACCCTATCATTGATAAATATAATTACTTTTAATGACGATACGCCTTGAGCTTTGTTTACTCGAATTTTCTTCTTCGCTATTCCTCCGATGGTTCGCGAACGATTTGCCGACTTTTTCGAAAAACACGTCGAGTCGGTAATTAAAGGCCGAACGAGGTAACGTGTATACACGTATAATTGTAATGCATATACGTACATAGGTATTCAGCTACTTTTTTTTCTTCATCGAAAACAAATTACGGCTTGGCGTTGAAAAAATTCCACACGGTCAGTTTTTTTTCTTCCGCGCATTTTTTTCCCCAAAAGCTCGTTAAAGCTCCACGTGCTCGGGACAAATGATGAAATTATCCGTTCGTATGCGTATAATAGTTACTGCTGGTTAACTGAACAATACAATATGTATGTATATTCGTACATCCCTCCCCACCAATTGTGTATGTATCCCTCTTTTCGCGAGTAATGCACAGAGAGCGCGTCTCGAGTGAGTTAAGGTCAGGGAAATGAGCAGCCGAGTGACTCTGTCTTTTTCTCCCGGATGGCCTTCGATGCAATGCGGCGAAATAATGCATCGACTCTTCTCCTCTCGCGGATATGTATACATATACTTGTTTGTTCCTATACGTGTGTGTGTGTATATACTCGTACACTGCACCAAAGACGAGATTGCGTCTACCGTAGATACGATCGATTATCCTTTGGAGAGCTTTATTGTTTTTTCTTTTTTTTTTTTTTTTNTATGTATCTTAACAGGCTTACTCACAAGTGTTTTCTGGATTTCGGAACAGTTTTGAAAAAAAAATTTCTTTCGCGATAAAGTGCATTGTTTTTGATAAACAAATTTTTTTTATTTACCACTATTTACAATAAAATAGTGAGAAAAATTTTTTTTCAGCTTCTTATATCTTTAGAGGTTTTTTTTTTTTTTTTTTTTTTTTTTTTTTTTTTTTTTTACATAGTATAGTTTGTACAGCAGATTATCCATATATTGAACTTTAGCGAAGATCCGTCATTTGGAATGATAGATTTGATCAAAACGGAAGCTCGAAAAAACCAAAAGCTTCAAAACAGGTTTTTGCTCTGTTATTTACCAGATAATCGTATAAAAATCGTATCCTGTCTTTGTAAACGCGTGTGGTAGCTTTTTTCCGAAGCAGTAGCTAATAATGTGATCACAAAGTCACTTTGTGGATATGAAAAGAAAAAAAAGAAAAAAAATTAATCGACAAATGCGACAACACAAAGGCTCGTTGTGCCGATTCACTCGTTGAACATAATTTTCAGACTCACGCGCCCTTGAAAGCATCGGAGTTACTCCTTTCTTTACTTTTATCTTTTCGGTACGGCAAGATCGTAAAACGGCGGGTCTCCTTTTTAGCGCTCGTAACGTCAGAAAATGATATTCCAAAGGGACCGGCAATTTCCGTAATTCGCACTCGAGCATTTAACCGCGCAATTCCTCATCGATCGGTCAAAGTATTTATAAAAGCCTCCCGCTTACCCCATTAGCAGAGTATTGAAAAGCTCTCGTCATCCGGTAAAAATAAAAGTTCGACCATTCACTTGAGCTTACTCGCGCGATGAATTGTATTGAAAAAAAAAAAGCTTTCTTTGAAGATCAAAGGCAAGTAATTCACGCAAAACTCGGTATACGTTGCACGTAGCCGACCGGCGCTTTGGAAAAATCCGGGAATCCGTACAAACTGACGCTCGCCTGACCTTGACATAGGCCGGCCAGCAGCGAGCTTGCAGCGTCTGTATACATAATACCTACACCTACAACAGCTGAGCACGTACGTCCTACGCTCCATCTGTCGTGCGATTTATTTTATTGATTACCCTGATGACGCAGACCTACATATGTGTACCCTTTCTCCGATGCAGGTGGAATAATTGCAAAGCATCCTCGCCACACACACGTGTACGTATGTAATGTCGGACATTTCATGTATTTTTTTTTTTTTTTGCGCAACAGGCCTCTGCACCACAACGGACGTGGATTGGCTACTGTACCACATGAACAATGCCAGGTATCTGCGAGAACTCGATTTCGCCCGAGCTGACTTTTACGAGCGCACGAATCTCTATCGGGAGATATGCTCGCAGGGCTCGGGTGTTGTCCAGGGAGCAGCGACCATACGCTACCGGAGGTTCCTCAAGCCGCTTACTATTTTTAAGATTACTTCTAAGGTAATGAATGCACCTGTTATTTTTTTATTGCATGTAAATACATATTACGAGCACAATACATTGTCTCGATGTATTTTAACAGCGACGCAAAGGTGTCAAGCTCTGAGAGCTTTTTTTTCCATTTGAATATTTCATGTCACTAGAAATCGAACTTTTTTTTCCGTGTCAGCGGTTCAAGCGAAGCGTTACCTTTTTTTCCTCCCTTTCCCCCCCAAGGTTTAATTAAGCGAACGCGTTTTGAGGTGACATGAGTGTCAAAATATATGGAGAAAGCGGGACTCACTTTACTCGCGTGAAAAAGCTTCTACCCTTACCCCGATGTTTTTTTTTTTATGTATACCTACACTATACCCTGTACACAGATAATTTACTGGGACGAGAGGTCGATCTTCATGGAGCACCGCTTTGTCACACCGTCGGACGGCTTTGTGCGGGCGATCGCCATGTGCCGGCAGCGCGTGCTCGACTGCAGCGCTGAAGCCGTCATGGGCGTCCTTATCGATCGGGGCGTCAAGCAGAACGGCAACCTAGAGTCTGGCGTCACGCAGGTGAGCTTGCACACACCCGCGCACCAGCTACGCGCGATTTAATTGCAGCCGACGACCTTTTATTATACTTTACAACTATATATACGTGCATGCAAAGCTCTTGTATTTTTTTTTTTTTTTTTTTCGTCTCTTTCTTGCCTCCTCTCTCTCTCTCTTATCTTCTCTCACGTTTTCGAACTCAAGCGCCACTCGTGAGATACAGCCGTGCTGGGTGTACTTATGCTGTCGCGCAAAGCCTTTGTTTGCATCACTTACTTTTGCGAGCTTTTGCTGTCGTCTACTTTAATTACTTTNTAAATTACGCTATCACGTGCATCGTGAAAATCTTTGACTCCCGGTTGATATCTGGGATGAGATCGGTTGATATCTAATTTGCATTTTTTTTAAAATCTGGTGCAGAGCTGTACTTGGATCGGCAAGAGCTGTTTTTTTTTTTTTTTTTTTTTTTTTTTTCAATGAATAAAATCCTGCCAAGTTACGAGAATTGAAAAAAAATTCGTTCACTGGTTAAAATATTTTTGCACCTTTAAAAATAACCACGGAAGTGGGTCAGTTTTTTTTCACAATAAATAAAATGCTGGAAATTTATGGAAATAAAAAAAATAAATAAATAAAAATCTGCACGACGTCGTACGTGCGATTTTCGGTAGAGTAATGGCGAAAACGTGATCAGAGCGAGCTCGACAATTTTTCTTAAAATAGAAAACCAGTTTAGATGCAAAAAAGCGCTTTTAAAGTTCTCGGAGACACTTTTAATGATGAGCGAATGCATTGTTCCTCCAAACCCCGCATCCCATTTTTGTTATCCAACGCTGCGGATATTAAACTCTGTTACGAAACTCAAGTCCCCGTCGCGCACGTAACAAATTCCGGGTGCCAAGGCGCAGCCGTGTATACTTTCCAGCTAATCAAAACCGTTTCCACCCGAAATTAAACCGTAAAAGCCCATCTAAGGAATTTTTCATTACGCCCAGCACGTAATAAATCAACACTTGCGCGAATGAAACCTAGCAGTCGTCGCTAATGGTAGTATAAAAAACGAAAAAAAAAGGCCAAACAGAAAGAGGAACGAAAAAAGAAATTCAACATTCACAAATGCATGCTAATGAGCGTAATGTGTACAATAGGGCGGGCGCGGAGTATGGCCCGCTCCACCAATTAGTTCTCGTCACTTGGCCGGTAACAATGAATCAAGCGAGCGTATAATATAGGTATATGTGTATACGCGATCAAGAGAGCCCTAAGTAGGTATACACGTATATAGTAGTCGGTCTCCGAGCCATGGGTGTATACCTTGTGTATACGTGTACTCTCCTGTACTTTCTTCTTACAGGCGGAGTGGCACGAGCGCGCATTTGAGAGATTAATCAAGCCCCGGTGCAACGCATGTGAAATACTAATGCCCACGCTTCGCTGGATGCTGCGCGTCTTTTATTTCTTTTGCGACGCTTGTAGACAATGTTGTGTTGTGTGGAGAGCCCGAAAGAGTTTATGCTTTTTTTTTTTTTTTTTTTTTTTTTTTTTTTTTTTTTTTTTTTTTTTNCCGTAAATAATGGAGATAGAGCCAAATAAGGCTTAATTTGGGATCATCGAAATTGAAAAATTTTTTTTTTTTTTTTCTTATTTCAGTATGTATATATAGGTTCTTGAGGTTCGTCAAGTGCCTCTGTGTTGATAAAGACCGAAGTACACGGAAAATGAACATTTCACGCACAGTTTCGCGTGTGTAAAAACATGTTTACCACATGGTTTTCAAAAAATAGTTTGAACAATATTTTTCACAGTGTGGGAAGGGTTACCAACTCGAAAAATCTCTTTCGCATGGCAGAATTTTTTTTGCACTACGTTATTTGACGTAACATTATTTTAAACGGTTTTATACATTTTTGTACATAATTAAATATTAAAGAGAAACAATTTTTATTATATCCACTACTAAAAAATTGCAGGTACCTACCAATTTTTTTTAGTGGCTTATCTTGAATTAAAATAATTCTATTAATCAAGGTACAAAGAGAATAGCTTCCATTAATTTTTTTGTATGCACTAGTGTTTAATTTTCAGAAATTGAATCTGTTTGTTCGTTCCGTTTTTTTTTGTTTCTCAATCATATAATTCCAAATTTTTTTTTGAACAAGAATTATATATTGTAAGTTTTTTGAAATACCTATTTTTTATTTTATAGTAATTTCCTTTGCTTTTACGACTACTGAATAATAATATATTGATGAGCGTATGTATCTTAACAGGCTTACTCACAAGTGTTTTCTGGATTTCGGAACAGTTTTGAAAAAAAAATTTCTTTCGCGATAAAGTGCATTGTTTTTGATAAACAAATTTTTTTTATTTACCACTATTTACAATAAAATAGTGAGAAAAATTTTTTTTCATATCAGATAAGTGAAATACATTTAACATTTATTGTAAAAAAATCGAAATAAAATTATTCAATTACTTTTTCAACTACTTTAACTGGTTTTTTTTGTTTCGTTTAAATTATTTTTTTTCCCAATTGTTATGGATTGTTTTTGCTAACAAAATTTGTAAAGAAGATACCATATTAAAAGAAGTGATTAAAAAAAAAAATTTCTGAGCCCAAGTAATGCATTAAATTTTTACCTTTTGGTAAAAAGTATAATTTTTTAACTATACTGCGAAAAAATTGAACAATCATACGTGCCCAAGTCTATCTATTCCCGTACATCTATATATTATCTACTCATATGATTTCTAGGTGCCACACGTACGCCCGGAAATACCAGCGGAAGTGGCTAGGTGGTTGGAGAGCAATGATATTTCCTCGGCGAATCTGCGACAACAAGCGCAATTGCCTCCACAAGCTGTATCGACGCATTTCTGACGAACAGAAGAAGCCGTCGTTTTATCAGTGACAACGACGGCTGTTTTACCTGCAGCCAACGGCCGCGACGATCAGTCGGTCAGCGAGACAACCTACGTTTGATTGATTTTTCTTTTTTTAATTTTTTTTTTTTTTTTTTTTATGTACATGAAATCGGTAACTCTTCCCTTACTGATGGAGCTCAAGGAGCCTCTGCTGTGGTTTACACGTACTGGCCAAATCAGTCTTTCTAGTCTGTGTGATGTGTTGTTTGTAGGAGGCCAGGTGATACTGTGAAACAGAGACAATCGCTCGAATAAATTTGCAAACGCGTTTATGAATTAATGCAATCGAGTCAATATCAACGATTGGCTCCTACTTCCACTGCATTGTTGTGTATAAAGATAATTATGAATAAAAGTTATTGAACTAAATGAATTCTCGTTTAACTGAGCGTTTTCACTGGAAACCAATTGTAATAAAAATACCAATGGGTATGAAATTTTAATATAAAAATATACACTCGAAATATCAAACTTTAGAAAATTGTTGAGGATTTTAAATGTCGTTAACTGAGACTTTTTACACATACCAACAGATTTTTTATTGTGATTGTTATTGTATCCTGTGGCCTACTTTTCAATAGTGCTTCTTAATTTAATGATCTTACATTAAGTCCAACTATGAAATGTATGAGACAATTATAGAGAAAAATGTTTAATTCTCAGCAATAGAATTTTTTTCCTAAAGTTTTACTCAAGTAAAAGTACTTTAGATGACTCCAAGATGATTATTCTACATGAGAAATTTCTTCCATACAACTTGTAACAATCTGAAAAATTGTAAAAAATCGTAAGTATATTTACGAGGATTTTTAATTTATATGTACACATGGATAACCAAAATTCTTTTTAAGGTTTCTAAATTATCCGAGTACTTAACTTACACACACTAAACAAAAAGTTATTCTTATTCCCACGTTTCCAATACACATGGACGAGAAACAAGGTTTGTCAAGCGTAAAAAAAAAAAAATATTTAAATAAATAAAAAAATATTTAAAATAATCCATCAAATAAATAAACAAATAAGCCTATAATCTTAAATTGAAATCTTCCCGCGCTCAACTTCTTCATCGACTTCGCGGCGCGCGATTATAACGGGAACACACACACACATACCGGCTGACCGACTGGAAAACTGGAATTCTGCAGCGTTGGTCAAAAAACTCCAAGTCAGTCTGCGGCTGACCAAGTGGTTGAGCAGAGACTCCTCTTTCTCTTTATTTATTTTTTTTCCTTAGTTTTTGGTAAACCATATTTTTTCATTTTTCCGTCGACCAGTGAAGTGTGAATCAACATGCTTAGCTATTTCACCCTCGCGTGCATCGTAATACTTTACGTATTCTTCGATGTCAACTACTTTCTTCGAATCGCCTTTACGATCGGCTTTGGAAGACTATTTCAAAAGAGGTCGAAAATTTTTGAAAAAACAACCATCCATGGTAAGATTGTACATTGATTTTTTGTTCCAACATTGAAATTGATATTTAAATGTCGCTCATGCTATTGTATTACATTTTTCATGTTCTAACGCTAACTAATGCAATTTTTATTTTTTTAATTAAATTTTTTTCTAGTAAAACCATTTGATCTACTAAAATTTAAAAAAAAAAAAATCTTTTTCAAACAATTTGTGGTTACTTACTTTATTCTGTCGGTCATATAACTGTAGTATACTTTCTAACGTGCTCGTATACGAAGCATACACGCGTATGAAGCGATACAACGCGTTTGACTAGTCATAATCAAAAAATATTTTAACCGAATGAAATTTTCGATCCCAAAAAAGTTCGATCGCTTAATACTGCGCCACATATTAGGTCACCAAATTATAATGTGACTAGATGACTGGCTGAATCAAAGAAATTCAAATAAGTCGCAGAACCGTATAAATTACCACATGTGAACAGAACAGTCGCCATGAAAAATCAATTCTTTTGCATACTCGAGCTACAAAAAATATTTCCAAACAAATGTTAAAAATATCACCCAACCACTATGATCTTGTCTAGCTAAAATATAATTTTCAAAATCGTCTATAACTATCACTCCTCATAATGGAAAAAAAAAGAAAAAAAATGTTTGCGTCATCTACAACAGGTATCTGCTTGACCATGGACGTCGATATATTCCTGAAGCACATGAACAATGCGCGCTACCTACGCGAACTGGACTTTGCGCGCTTCCACTATTACGATCGTTCGGGTATTTATGCTGAAATTTCCAAGAGGGGAGGTGGAGCTGTTCAGGGTGCATCTTCCACGCGATACCGACGGGCGCTTCCTATATTCACTCCTTACAAAGTCACTACTCAGGTAATTTATTTACTAAACTATAAATTGGAGGTAGGAATAATAGTTTTACATTATAAAAAAAAAAAAGTTGCTTAGCACCAGTTAAAAATTTTTTTTTTTTTTTCGTTCGCAGCTAATATACTGGGACGAGCGCAACTTTTACCTGGAGCACGAGTTCATCAGTTTGTCGGACAACTTTGTGCGCGCCGTTGTGCTGAGCAAGCAAAGCGCCACTGGCCTCAAAGTTCCCGTGTCCGAGATAGTCGAGAAAGTCCAGCCTGGCGCCGTGAGGCCTGAAATTACCAAAGAATTGAAACTCTGGTTGGACTCTATGGAAGAGTCTTCGTTGAGGTACAAGAAAAAGTGAAACTGAAGTTGAGCGTTTGGAATTAGAAGCCAAAATTTTGCCAAACAACTTGACACTGAAACGATGCCTTACATGTGTACAAAAATGGCCTTTCAATAGGCATCCCTGACATAGTTGTTTATCACTTACTTTTTATATAGGTGTAGAGGATTGTTTTACTTTTTCTTAGGAAAATAGTTTTAGCATCTATAAATGTATATTTTTTACGAGGTATAGCAAGTTTTTGTATCGAAATAAAGTTTATTTTATCGAATGATAACAACGAATGATGTTTNATTAAAACTACAAATAACGATTGTATATTTTTATTACAAAAAATTTTTTTTTAGCCATTCATTAATTTTTTATTGCTACGTACATTCAAAGCGGAACTTTTTTAGATTATTGATTGCACTTCTATTGTCATTTTGTACTGTAAAAAAATCAATAAATCGACAATATACCTTAGAACTTATCCAAAATATCTTTAACAACAGCTTTTGTTTTGATAGTCAGAACAACAAAGGTTACGTATATAAATTCATAAGTTTTATTTATAGGTACGTAGATACGGGCACTGGACAAAATACTCTTACAGTTGGGTATGTAAATTTAAACATTCAAAGCCAATAAATCGAAAAAAAATATCTAGTTAGTTTTAGTCTTACCAGATAATCAAAGTGGTATATATGACACTTTAAACTTTTGAAATAAATTTACATAAAAAATGATTATCCAGACTTAATCATGGATGTACTGCCCTCTCTTGGAAAGGAGTCGAAAAAGCTAGGGAGCTCAAATGAAATTGAGAATGTTAAATGGTACTGAACAATTTTCACAGATGGTAGTACAGTCACGAAGCTTTGAGCGCTCAGAGCACTTGAGTTCAAACAACGGATGCAACGACAAATTATAATTTTCACTCAAGAGTCATCAGCTGCACATCACATGTGATTCTTCGGACGGCACACGTTGATAATGCCAAGTGTTTTTTGTTTTCTTTCAAAACATTTCGATTTTTCCAGTGCCAAATTCTTATTTTGTTACAAGTGCAGTAGATTTGTTAAAAAAATATAAAAAATTTGATTTTATACCATAATTNTTTTTTTTTTTTTTTTTTTTTTTTTTTTTTGGATCTAGCAACGAGCGAAACGTAGTTGATCTCGTGCGCTAGCGAGAGGAAGCGCGAAAGTAGGGCTTAATTAGGTGAGAGTGGTTGTTCGGTGAGATTTGGCGCAATTTTAGGAAAAAAAAAACATCCGGGGATGGAAAATTTCTTAACTTCCACTCGGAGAAATTCTGCTACCTGATGCTTGAATTTCCATGCACCGGCAACAAGGAACATATTAACGCATTGTTCACGTAATATTACACCAACAGATTTACGTACACATATATATTAAACGTGTGAATTGTACGGTTACATGATTTTTAATTGGAACTGCCATTGTAATACTGTTGAACAAACGATTCAAGCCCTCGAAATCGGTTGTAGCAAAAAACGATCGATCATCCAGAGGGAAAGGTATATTCATCTCCATAGCATGTTATTGTGCACAGTTAGAATCGTAACCCAGCGTCATTTGTTGAACAGTTGAAAAGTATGAGATAATAACTTAAAAACGCAATTTCAACGAGGTATTCAATGAAAATCTTTCCAACGAAACGAACGGACTCCTTTCATCGCGACACAGTCAAACGCGTCAGAAAGGAACAAAGTGTTTTATCACCCGAAACACAGAGAGAGGTAATCTGGGACGTCGCGATGAGCCCCGGTTTCTGCGCACAGTATGGACAAACGCTCGCGTTTAGAGGTCCATGCGAGCGACGTGGATAAAGAGGAGGAGGCGCATTGACGGTAGATTGGATGCATTTGACGAAGCAGCCTTGACGAGATGATTTAGTGGAAACAGACGGGAAAGAATTAATCCAAGCACCTATGCACACGCCGAGGCTGATGGCCGAGCGATTAACGCGATGGCCCGTGGGAATTGGTTCGTTAAGGATTAAAATAAAATAAAAATACACGTGCGCAGCTCATAATTCGAGGAGCACCGGAGGCCCAACGAAATTCCGTTCACACGACGCTTGGAAGAATAGCCGATGGCGTTACCCCCTCATAGGTATTGGCAAAAGCTTTGCGCAATGTTAATAGCGGCGCTATGGGTTATAGAACACGAGGAGGGCGCAGCTCTCGCTTTTCTCATACAATATATACCTGATGGCAAAATTATGTACAATATACACGTGTTGGTGAGCCACCTACTCCGAGATGAATATAATACTCGCGCGTAGGAGTAAAACCATACAAGTGTATATAATATGTATATTACTGGGGAAGGGATTGATTAAAAGCTTCCTTTTCTTCTCTGCCGATAACGCGAATGAACCGTCGCGGGGCGTCTTGCGAAATTAAATACACGCGAAATGTACCTATATGTACTGCGCGATGTATGTATTTACTTTTGTCGTGCCTCCCTCGTGCACGGCTGATTATGAATTCCGCGCCACGCACGGACCGACAAATTACACGTCAAGTGGCCCACTTAAACTCGGCTTACCAATAAACACACGCACACGCTGTACGCACACGTGATCTAACTCGTCGACGATCGGCATTTCTACGATTATTCGTTGGAAAATCCCATAATTCAGAAATCGGTATGTATCTCGCTTAACTCACCGATCGTCAGCAAATTTTGAGCCAAATGTATGGTAATACCACGCAGACGAGCTTGTATTATACACACGCACGTATGCTTATAGCCAAAAGAGAGAAAAGAAAAGAAAAGAAGAAGAAGAAGCATATAATGGCGTGGGCGTACGGGACGACGGAGCAGCAGCCCACCTCGTCACGAGGATTAAGAAAGAGACGTCACAGACTTTTTCCGCACGACTAATGGTGTATTATATACATGTACAACGCGGAGGGGCAATAATCGCGCAAACGAGCCTCCGCGTTGTTCGATAATTGTTCGTTGCGCAACGGTGAGTCCGATGCACCGCACGCAGAAACGGATACAGGAAAATATTCTTTTTTTTCCTTTTTTTTTTTTGGTAGTCATCGATAGCTGTACGATTATCCCAACTTTTTTTTATTCCCTTTGATTTTTGGTGAACTCCCACAACTGGGAGATCATACTTTCTCCTTCCATTGTTTCCCACCAAACACGATTGACGCCGGAGAAACTTTCGTTCAGCGCTTCAGAACCATCAACCAATACACACGTACACACCAGCTGCAGTATATTGTTATGTAGAAATTGTCAAAGGACGAGTTTGAAAGAAAGTTTTCAGGTGCATTGCAGTGGGCGAGTCGCGCAGGTGCAGCCCCGAACCGATTGGCAATCGGTCAAATTAGCCATGGCTGGCTGGCCACGTACACTTCACCTCCTCTTCCCGATCCCAGACACACAATGGCGAACTTCCTCTCGCACGCCCAGGCCATGCACTTATTCACCACAGCGATAGGGGGAACGGCGCGTAAGATACCTTCAATTCCCCCCCCCCCCCCCCACAGATAAGCGCCGTATGGATTTTACATCAGGGGATGCGCCCCCGTGTATCGAGCCCGTGATTTATGGCTCTCGCGTTATATACATCTACCTCGGGAATTTCACTTGAAAGTACATATATACGATATCGCAAAAGTTTCGGAAAAGTATCACCTATACGCCCACGCGCTCGATCGCGAAGGAGGAAGAGCTCCGAGTTTTGTGAAAATACGCGTCGCGTGGGCGTTGCCGTTTTATTTTCGATACCGTTGATTATCCGAAACTCGCGGCGTATACGCATCAAATGTGTACCAGTTTCGCCCACCTCCATTACTCCTCGACGAGGTGCAGCGAAACAAAACAAAAAAAAAAAAACATCCAATTCAATTGCACCGTAAAATGTGGTGCAGTGGGTTGTCGAGGAAAGCCCCCTCGCGAGCTTTCACCTCGTCCGATGGAAAAATCGGCACTTTCCCGGCACAGACAATGAAACGGCCTTTCAATTTTCCCCAGCCGACGCGCGCGCACGCATTAACCGGCCGATCTCTCGCCCCGAAGGTCCCGCAAGGGCCGATCAACGAAGAACAATCGCGGCGAGAAAATAATGGACCGAGCGTACGTTTGGGAATTACATCACGTGGGAAGTCGGAGCAACTCTGTATATACACTTGCTATCTGCTTCGCGGACCGAATCATCGTACGGTGGCTATATACAGAAGCAGCGGCCCAGGTTGGCTTTTTAGTTGTTTTTGTTTGTTAGGCCTCGAAAATCTTCATGGCAACCTCAAAGCGCTCCCTTTTGAACGGACAATCGTTAAAACGAGGAGAGAAATATACCCACCCGCGTGTATATAGTTCCTCTCTCCCTCGTTCTTTGGCATCTTATTGCGCATGTGGCGCGACTAATTTTATTGCACGAGGTTTGTTTGCTCTGATGGTGGTATAGGCGAGTTTTTCATCGCCGAGTGTTATTGCGTGTATAGAAAGGGAGAGAGAGAGAGAGGAGGAGTTGTGTTTGGTCTCGGCGTTTTACGAGCCCAGCAGCTCGGTCCTTTGCTCGGTTGGCTGCGTGGTAAACACTGTACCCACACCTCGGGAGCTGCAAATACTTGAGTAATCTTGAATAATCTTGCAACGTCGGACGAACAGTTGACTGAAGCTGTTCAAAAAAGGGACATGATAATACACTATCACGTATCGATCGTGGATAGATGTTTGTACGTCTGGTCACTTGGATTTTTTAAACACCATCAGTTGCCACGGAGAAAGGGGGGTTTTAGATTGATTTAATGGACTATGGGTGTGAAAGCTCATCCGTCAGAGATGCGAGCGGGAGGCTATCGTTGTCGATATGATGCTCCTCATCGCGCTCGTGTGCGCTTTAGATCCCCATTGCTTGAATCAACCAAGTTTTGCACTTATCGTGCGATAACTGGTTTTTACCAGGACAAATATATTATGAAAATCACCTCTTCCGCGTTTTTTGTTAAGTAACCGTGGATTGAAGCAGGTGACCTGGCACTCCATCTCGTAGCTCTCGCAAAAAAATCAATGGCATGTATATACACTAAAGGCCATCCAAGTAATTGCAACAAGAAAAAGAGGCTTTGAATGATAAACAAGCACGTATATACATTTTGTGGAAAAAAACACCTCGGTGTAGCTTTGGTGATGGTCCGATATCGTGAAAAGTCTCGCTGGATCCATATATATGCGAGAGGTGAGGCGAGACGAACGAGGCACACGCTCGTCGAGGACCCATAGGAACGTGTAGGGGGGGGGAGGGATCATAGATGATTGCAAATTGCCCGCAATTGGCAGGAAGTCGGGGGGGACCGCTTGTTCCCCCCTTTTCTCTCTCTCTTGAACGTTCATTAGTCCACAGCTTGTGTGATGTGATGTGTATAGGCTTGCTATACATGTGATGGTACAACTACACCTCGTGCGTTATTACGGTGTGACGTCGCGAGTTGCCAAAGTGTCTGACACTGATGTTTGGTGCACCGCTCGCTTCAGATTCGTCTCGTTTTAGCTGTACGCGTACTCGATCCTTTTGTTACGCAGATATTCAAATAATGACAACAGTTACAAATTTTTATTTGCCGTACAGGTTTACTCGATCCCTGAATAAAATGTAATCCCCTTTGACTCCGGGGTATTACATTTTACTCCATATAGGTTGTACATTGTCCGCGAAGCAAGAATAGATAATTTAAATTCAATACGGAAATTTTACTCCTCCCTCCCCCCCCCGATCACGAAATAGCTAGGTATAAGTTTTATCGCGGTGTACCTATACGGCATCCTCGATATTTTTCCTTTAAAACATCACAATGCATTTAGCTCCTCTAAACGGTTAATGGCTCTCCGCCGTGTATTCTTATCCACGTATGTTTATATACGTAATATGAATACACGTGCCTATACACGCGAACTTTCATTCACCAAAGTACATATATACGTCCACGATGTATCGGTATTCCCCTCTAATCTAATCCATCGGCTAACTGTACTCGTGTATGGTATGCCCTTGTTCTTCTTCTCCTTATACCGATTTGAATCTATACACGGCAAGGCTTCGTGCTCGAGCGTATATTATATATACACCCGTAGCTTTGCTCTAATTAATACCGTAAACTCGATCTTTGGCTTGTTCAACGTAATGGATGGTGATGGTCATTCCATTTCTTCATTTTTACTTTTTTCCTTGTTTCTTTGTACACTCCGTATCGTGCACACCCAAACTTATATGATAATGAAGACATTGTACATACGTATATTGTAGTTGTGTTGTAGCTATTACAGAAACCCCTTTTTGCTAGATGAAAAGAAAAAAAAAGAAAAAAAAAAAAAAAAAAAAAAAAAAAAAAAAAAAACCGACCCCGTGGGGGGAAAAAAAATTTTTTTAAAAAAAAAAAAAAAAAAAAAAAAAATTTTTTAAATTTTTTTATAAACGTTACAACCAGTTTTAACAATTCTGTTCATCCAGTGCAAAAACCAATACGAAAAACAATCCTACGTCGTGAATCTAATTTTAATAAGTACCCTCGAGAGCAGTGAGTCAACACTTTTTTACGGAATATCATTACACCACATAGGATTTTATGCTATAAGGATAATCCATCTCTCTACATGCAAATTAATAGATTCGAAAAACGAATTGTATGATAACACGTTTGGAAAAATCGTGTACTATTTCCTACTGATGTTTTTACATTCAGGGTTGTGCTTGACGACAGACGTTGACATATTCCTCAGTCACATGAACAACGCCAGGTACGTGAGAGAGCTGGACTTTGCTCGTTCCTTCTTTTACGACCGTTGCGGTATTTTTCGGGAAATCAAGAAAAACGGCGGAAAATTAGTCCAAGGGGCGACCGCCATACGGTACAGACGGCCCATGCCTGTTTTTGCCCTCTACAAAATAACGACGGAAGTAAGTAAGTTTTCAAATGGTAAATTAAAAATTAAAAATGATAATCATAATTTAATGCACTTGGTCGCCTTCGGTTTTTCTCACAGCTCATTTATTGGGATGACAAAAATATATACACACAGCATGAATTCGTCAAGTTGTCCGACAAATTTGTACACGCAACGGTGCTGAGCAAACAGAGCATCGTAGGATCCGCTATCCACGTACCCGACATAATCGAACAAATTGAGCCGGGCGCAATCAGATTTGAGTTATCGGAAGAGCTAAGTCTGTGGATGAAATCTTTGTCCGAGTCGTCGCTCAAGTTCAAGAGATTGAGGGAAGAGGAGCTCAATGTCGATACCACGGCTTTTTTACAAGATCCTTGAGGTCATCGAAGATCAATAATAGTGCAAATGTACATGTGATACGAGTTTTTCTAGATGTATAAGTCATTTAAATAATTAAGCTTTCGACGATTTTATACTATTTTACACTGGTAAGCTTTGTACACCCAATTGACGTACCCCAATAAAAAGAGAGAAAAAAAATTACCGAGTACAACTTTTCGAAACAAAACCACAGCCTGATAAAAAAACATTCTCTTGTATTTATTTGATGAAGCAAACTTAGTTTTAAGAAACCTACTTAGTTTTTTTTATTTCTTACCTGCACTAGAGAAAAGAAAAAAAAAGCTGTAATTAGGTATTAAACTTTAATGGCGATGCACTGCTACGCTGTTTTTTTTTTTTTTTCTATTTGGTCTCCAGGGCTATACTCTTGCTTTCAAATATTAACAACCAAGTAAAGACGTGTAGTGTGATACAGTATCAAACGAAATGTGGTATTTCTCTTTATTAATGAATATCAAACGCTGTACGCTTGGACATACCTACTTGTGGTAAGCGTTAGAAGGAAAACGGGCTTCAACTGCTCAAGGATGATGGATGCAAGTTTCGATAAATATCTGGGGCTCAACGTTAAGATGTTGGGATGCATGGGCTTGGCTGTCAGCTTAAACAACCGTAAAATTAACTACAAGTATTTTATTTTGGAAAAATTGCCGACTCTTTTGACAACTGTTTTGGCGCTTTTTGAGCTGTTTTGTCGATTTCAAAGTATAACGCGGTCCTGGAATAACGATTTCAGCTTCGCACTTCAAATGCTCTCTTTTCTTCTTAGCTCTTTCATCTGCGCTTTCAAGGTACGGTTAATTGCCAATATAACTGCACCACTGTGATTTGACAGCACTTGCACGAAATAAAATTAAGCTCGAATGTAACAAAAAGTATTTTACGTAATAAAAGTAAGAATTACACGTGGGGTGGTTTTAAGAACTTTTGAGTGCAGGGTTTTCGTATAGCAATGGCAATAAATAGCATAAGATCGGTACTACCAGAGATGGCTGAAATGTGGCAAAAATATCCTCCTCGAGAGCACCGTCTCAAGGCCAGAGTTTTGAGCAGCGCTGCGAGATCGCTCCTATTTTCCAAGTTATATTTTTTTCACGTGGTCCTTGGAATAGGAATCGCTGCGCCACCTGTACTGTAAGATAATGACACGTAATTGTCTCGAGGAATTTTTCTTCAAATTGTTTGGTTTTTTTTTTTTTAATTTTCAGAAAATTTTTTTCCAACTGCTTTACCTCCGAAGTCATGAACGAGGCCTGTGACTTGACTGTTAGAGTTTATCTAGTGGAGTATCCTTTTGAAATAAATAGTAGACTACTGTACTTTGTCATCCTCGTGAAAGAAGAGTGGATGTTTTTTAATTCAGCCTTTTATTGGGCTTGCTGTGATACATTGTATATTCAATTCGTTACCCACGTCATACTGCAATTAAAGGTCTGTTACAAAAATTTGATGTGCAACCAGGAAGAAGGAGACTTTATTAAGTTGTAATTTATTTTTTTTAAGATATTAAAGTTTGATATAAATGATGTACTGAAACATGAAAATGATGAAAAACAGGTGACAGTATATTTGATAGGTTTTATCAAAAGACACCAAGTTATATTAAGGTACACGTAATTGATATTAAAGAGAGATTCAAATAATAGATTTTATACAAATTTTACCTAATATTTGATACTAAAAATGTGTGGGTAGATTTTGTCATCAAATTGAAAAAATATTCAGTCCAGTTCTATTTGTTGCTATGATTACATCGTCGGTCAACATTTGTCTCGCAATTTTTGGAGTACAGGAGGTATTGCATTTGTTTGTGTTTCCTATTTTTTTTTTTTTTTTTACAATGAATTTAGAGAATATCTTACGATGAATAATAATTTCTTAAATGCTTGTGACATTCGCAATCAGATATTCAAAGCATCAAACTACAACGACATAGCAACTTACATGTTTATTTTAGCCGGAGTGACTTATCAGATGTTACTCTATTGCATCTATGCAGATTCTTTGACCCAAGAGGTATATCAAATATTAGTAGTTACTTTAATTTATGAACAAGTTGCTAAGTTTAATAATTTTATATTTTTTTCTTTACATGTTAGTACAATAATTCCTCCTAAAATGTTAAAATTAATAATCAGTTAAATATAATAATTATCATACAATCAACAAACAAGAGTGACATTGTCAACGCAACATTTTTTTTCCATTTAAACGTGTAAAATCTGTAAAACCTAAAAAATGTTACACTTTGGTGCCTGCAAGTTTTTACTCACTACTTTCACAGATTAGTCTCTGCTACTTTGTTGTACAACATCAATTTTTTATACTAGTAGTTACAGATGAAAACCATATCTCTTTTTTCTATCATTTGTTTGTACGATATGAGGCATTTGTTTGGTCATAAAGTGTACCTACACCGAAAAATGATGTATTTCAATTAAGGTCTACATTTTTTTCTAAAGTCACTTCTACAAATCGTTTATTGGCAACGTCATAGCCAAAAATTGTTTTATGTCTTTTTGAATATTCATCCACTCACTTTTTGTAGAAATACAACTTTTTTTTCATCCCGTAACTAACAGATTTTTACAGGTGGTAACATTTATTATGCTCCAAAAAATAAAAGGCACTTCTGTGAGGCACTAAATCTACAAAAATAGTTTGAAAAAATTTTCAGGCAATGTTAGTAGCCAACGCAGCGTACGGCAGCGATTGGGTCGACAAAAACCACAAACTATGGACGTATTTACGAGTACTAATGCTGAGATCTCAGGTTCCAGTAAATTTCACAGCCCTCGGATTCTTCACGATAAGCTTGAGGAGGCTAACGATGGTACTTACTCACCTATGATATTTAAAAAACAAACCAACAATTCGATCTTACACTTTCAAAAAAAAATTTTCCAGATTTCCAAGGGAGCTGTATCATATTTCGCGATGCTGTCGGCACGTCACTCCTAAAGAAGACACATTTCCCGGTCCGGGATGAAATACAAATAAACCGTTCTTGTACACCACCGATGTAAAATTTTTAATAAAACGACACTCGATTTGCACAAACAGCCTCTACATTCTCTAGCATCACCGAACAAAAGCCCCGTGCGACTCCCCGCAAAACCCACCGTCTCCTCGCCTCGTCCAGTGTTCAACAGATGACGCCCGCGCGCCGCAAGCACCGCCAGAGAGAACCGCGCGCCTCCAACGCGATTCAGTCCGCGATCGACTCACAGTGCAACAGCCGGCGTGTATACGCGTAAAAGCACCGGGAGTAGGAGAGCAACAGTATATTTACTAGCCGATAAGAGTGCAAGGGTGTCCGGTATCGGTAAGTTTTTCAAAACAATTATCCTGTCACGGTATGCCTGTGCAATCGTAGTTATAGGATAAACCGATTTGTAAGAGTTGCACGCGTGAGAGCAGTGTTTGAAAGGGCTTTCATTTGGTGACGGTCGCGTATGCGTACACGTTTTTTTTTTTTTTTTTTTTTTTACCTGATGCCGCGCCAACCGCAGCGGCATCGCGATTCCACCGGTGTATAACAAGAAAGGCATAGAAATCGAGGTGGTAAAAGCGGCTTTTCGCGACATTTGGCCTGGCGCCGTTGGAGAAATCGCGCACGCGCGCTTTTCTAGGACAAAAGAGAGTCATACAACGATGTTATTACCACGGCACTGCTTCCATAACCGGAGGTGAAGATAAATTACGCTATCACGTGCATCGTGAAAATCTTTGACTCCCGGTTGATATCTGGGATGAGATCGGTTGATATCTAATTTGCATTTTTTTTAAAATCTGGTGCAGAGCTGTACTTGGATCGGCAAGAGCTGTTTTTTTTTTTTTTTTTTTTTTTAAAAAAAGCTCAAGGAAAAAATAAGAAACGCAAAAGTTTACAGATGAGGGTTAAAGAGAAGCCATTGGTAAAGCGTAGCTAAGAAAAGAGACTAANTGTGTCACTGGACGCATTTTCGACCCTCGAGCTTCCTCGTTTCTCCGTCTCTCGAGGAAAAAGTTAATTTTCCAAACGTCGATCGCGCGACACTCCAATTTCCCAACTTGAGGACCCCGCGACGGTGGCGGCAGAACTAATTACTAAAAAAAAAAAAAAAGAAAAAAAAAACAATATTAATAATAATAATTAATAATAGAGAGATATGAATTCCATCAAAGAGTTAAAATAATGGCAGAAAAGACTGTGCGCTCAAAGGCAGATACCACCGCTTGGGCGAATATTATACACAGCAGCATGGTCTATTGGGCGTCCAATGAGTGTGCCGTTCCAGTCTCTCTTTCTGGTCGTACTGTAACTATTTTTTCTCCTTTCGGCTCCTCCTTCGCTTTTAAAATGTCCATTTCTGATTCCGTGCTCGGCATAACAATTGAAATTACCGCAAACGCCGCTGTCGCCAGCTGTTTACAGTTAAAAGGGAGCTGCAACGGCTTCGTGCAACGACACGAAAACACGACGAAAAAAAGACCCAAGCGGGTTTTTAAGGAGGATGCCAACGCGCGTTGCTGCGATTATTTCAATTATTTCATCACGGCCTTTCGGGCGATATACGATTATCATGGGGATGATGCCTCCACGAGATAATTTTCGGAGCATCCTGCTGGATGAGCCGGCGTTTTAGCAAAAAAAAAAAAAAAAAAAGGAAAAAAAAATACAAATATGCAGCTTGTTGAGCTCGTGAATAAATCACGCACCTCGTATGAAAAAAGAAAAAAAACGAGAGGCGGGAAAACAGTTTACGTAAAACCCTGTCTCCCCATTGGAAGATTCGCGCGTACGTATACCACTTCTCCCACGCGAATGAGACCTGCAACAGCTTTCGAGACGATAAGCACGACGAGTTGCGCAACGGGAGGAAACCGAGTATATAATGTATACCTGCAGTTGTTGCTTTCGTCGCGTGTAATCGGAGTCTTCAGGGCGTCGTTGACTTTACTATACCTCGAAGACCCTGAAATCCGAGTTGGCCTGTATATACCGCGACTTCCTCTCGCTTCGCTTTCTTCCCTGTTGTTACGTTGCTATTTCGCTACGTTTGGTGTATATATATACCATTTAACAAAGCAGCGAGTTTGACTACGTACAAAAGATAACTACAGGTTCATTGGACAATTTTCGCATAATCTTCCGGAAAACAGTGTACACCCGCGCGGAATGTAAATCCTCGCAAACGGAGCTTACATTATTGCGGGGGGATGAGGCTCCAGAGTTGTGACGCGCGAGCATTCACCTGTTGGTCGACACACCCTGAATCCTCAAACACGGGCCACGAGCCTATATACTTGCTGCATCAGGCATGTATACAGAATAACGAAACGACCGACAGATAACGCAAACACGCCTCGGAGAAATAAAAAAAAAGAAGAAGAAGCGCAACACCGACCGCGTCCTCTTGCATTTTTTAGGAGTCAAAAAATAAGAAGAAAAAAAGAAGAAGAAAACATTTCCAAAGAGAACCCCTACTCGTGCACCACTACCCTTTGTGTATGATAAAAGTTGCAATTTATACCCATGTACGTATAGGTACGTGGAAGGGAAAAGAGGGAGAAGTGGGATACACAAGTAGGTACATATACCTAGTACGTCGAGAAGTGCTGCAGCACGCGGAGGTTGGTCCCGTTAGAGGACCTACAAGAGCTCTTGCACGGAGGAGGAGGAGGAGGAGGAGAGAAACACCACGTACACTTACAGAGCGATATTATGGATGGAAGCCGACAGAAAGGTAATGATAACGACGATGACGGGCTTGGAGGGAGCGTGGGTGTGCCCGGACACGAGTCCTAAAAGATCTTGTTTTGATTTTAATCCCTCGAGAGCAACGATTAAACTGTTTGTCACTCGAGAGATATATACATAATATTATTATATGTTGGCCGCGGTACGACTTGCCACATCCCGTGCAACGGGTCGTGGAGTTATGGAAAAAGAGCTTGGAAATAAAGTCGTGCGTGTCGTTGAAACAAGTCCCTGGTGCGGGCTGTGCATATCGTGTACGCACCGTACCATGGGGTTCAACAGCGTGTATAATAAGAGGAGAGGAAAAACGGTGCTGTATATAATAATAGGTGGGGGGAGGCAAAAAAAAAGATCGTCAACTTCCAAGACGCGAAGAAAGCATACACGCGAGACTTGTGCACACACGGAGTTTAGAGTATTGAAAAATATAAAGGCGTAAGAGAGGAGTGTAAGGTGGAGAGAAAAATGAGTGTGACCGGGAGAGAGAGGATATGATATAGTGGGAGGATATAATACGGAGGAGGGAGAGTGTATAGGTGCCGATCGAGCGAGTCGACCGGCACTCTTTTCTCCGCTCGCGGCCGCGGTTGCAAACACTGCGCCGGTGCGTGCGCCGGGCAAACATACAGTGACGCTTGGGATACATCGGTGCGGGCTCTAGTGTGCTCCGTTGCCTTTGAAATTTTCCGCTTCTTTTTTTCTTTCTCTCGCGTGTTAGTTTGGTTTTTTTTTTTAAGGGGGTTTTCTCAGTTCTCTGCGGAAGATGAAGATGCCGAAGAGCGCCGAAGAGTAAACCAGTTGTAAGTTGTTGCGAGGATATTTTAGTGTTTTGTCTACAAGTTGAGAGTGACTTTTTTTTTTTTAGACTTTCGAGTTTGTGGTTTATGTGTACACATCCATCGATTGGTGGGTTGGTTTTGCGTGTAGTGCCTTTTCGTTCACTTCCCTCAAAGAAACGAGTCTACTCGTATTTCTAAACTATGACAATATTCAATCTCACTTTAATATAAAATCAGCCCTGCGATCTGATGTAAGTGAAGAGAAAAGAAAAAAAGCTGACAATTTTTAATTATCACTGTATGAGTAACCACGATTGGTTACCGCGTGGCAAATCAGCCAAAAAAGGTTGTGATGAAGGTGACGCTTATTGTGCCCCAATTAAAAACGCCTAATTCCCTCACTCGTGCTTATGCACGATGAGCTCGACGATGCCGCAGAATTGAGAAGATCCTCTTGATGAAGCGCTTCCTGTCCGTTTGAAGCATACACAAGTATAACATTTACCGTGGAAGTTTTAATTCTAAAATTCGTGTGTACCTATATGTACTGCAAAACAAAATTACAAAAACTTTCATTGTTTATCCTCACACGTGTAGGTGGTATTGCTTTATAGTAGGTGATGTAGTGTCTGCTACTTCCTGGATTGAAAGCACCATTACCAGTATTATCGTTACGGATTATAATATTTATTACCGAACGATATAACGTACTTTTACATGATATACTTGTAGTCGATCGCTGATCTTAGTCGAATAAAGTAATAACGTACATTTTAAACTTCCAGAAAACACCGGAGGTATACTTCAATCACCTACTCGGAAAAGCTCGCAAAGGACCAGTTACCGGTATCCCGGGCATCATGGGTCGGACCGGCTACACGTGCATCAGGCACGTCTTTTGCTCGCTAAATGTCCTCCTTTGGGTCAGTATATATACCTATTCGTTCAATCTCTGTAATTACTCGCATGAATTTATACATCATAGAGCGATTCTCTCGGCTCCTCGGGAATTACCTTGAAATTTATGAAAACCCATACTCAATTGTTGAAGAAAAAAAACTGTTGACGAGCTGTAAACAACGAAAACTAGTCCGCGTCACCCCACGAGCTGCACCGTTTGTATATACAAACACTCTCGAGGCTGAAACCAGATAGCCCCGCTAATTAGATACGGGAAAAAAATAAAACACATACACGGGAGAGGGTACCGTGTAGTTAACAACACGAGCTCACCCCGGATAAAACGAAAGCAGCGATTCCTCCCGGAAAAGTCGAAAAAAAAAAAAAAAAAGAAGCACCGACACACAAGTGGATTACCCTCCTCCTCTTGCCCGAATTCCAATCAGCCGACTAGCCTTTCTACTCGCCGCGCTATCGCTCCTCTCCTCTTCCTCATTCCACTTCCAATGCGAGCGAAATATCGCGCCGGGCAAATCTAGGGTCTTCTCCGACTCTGGAGTCTTGGGGGCACAACCGAGACCCATAAAGACGAGAAAGCAGGCGGATGATTTTACAAAATCATGCAGCGGGGCCTTCGGAACACGTGCCGAGAGCCTCGAGATCGAAGGATAATTACGTAAACGAGGAAGCAGCCAAGCTATTAAGGATCATTTGGATGTGCAGTTGAATTAAACGAGAGTTGTATTTTTTTTTTCCTTAGTTTAAAAACTACGCAATATATGTTCGAGATCAATCAGTGCAGGCCTTACTTATTCACGCTCAAGCTGATACAGACGAGTGACCTTTTGTTTGTACATTATGCACGACTCGAGGGAGTAGTAGTGTACTTTCGCGCTCGCTTTTCACGCCCCCGAGGGCAATCGTGCAAGGGGGGCATTTATCTTGCTACCATTTCAGACGATTCGTGCTTCGTAGTTTTGATTTTTTTCTTTTTCAATTTCAATTTTATTTTCTTTTCTCCAAGTGGCTCGTGTATACACAAAATATATGTGGGTAATGCAACGGCAATCAGCGCTAAATGCTCTTTCGACACGAGTGGGCGCGCGTGAAAAAAGACTTTCGCAATTAATAATTATTATTTGCAAACGACGATTCCGAAAATCGTTGGAGGGAAGAGAGGGAACCACCGTTATTTTCGCTAATGATGATTTGTACGTATGGCTTTATTTTTTTTCCTTCTGCAAATAGTGTTTCGAAACTCGTGGACAAAAAAAGTGCACCTATCGCAAAGAACCCTTACGATACTCAACTATTTACCGTAAATTTTACCCTCCATCACGTCCTGGGCGGGCTTTTTAAAGCCAATACACACACAGAATCCTTAGAGATCGGCGTCATACAAGTCGACAAAAAGGCTATTAGCAAACTTTTCTTTTCTCCGAGTCAAAGAAAACTCTCTTCCGAGTGACTGCTGGCTCGCTAGGGGCCATCTTTCACGAAGGAGATACATTTTCGATGGTCCTCCTTTAACGGCCCGATTTCGTATAACTCGCGAGACATCGTATCACGCAGGCATTGAAAGTAGGAATGGATATATTGTCACCAAAAACTACAATTTACAACATGTACCTATACTCGGGTCAATCACGGTGCCAACCTCAAAATCATAAAAACAAAACCACGCTTACGTACAATGGAACCAACTCTTCTGACCTTCGACTGGATTGTCCCCTTGACACAAAAAGCAAGCGAGGGGGGGGGCTCATCTTCCATTACATCGTCCGACGGCGTGCATATATTATGCACATGTACAAGCCGATGAAAAATACTCAGCCGGTTTCTCTTTCATCCAGTGGCTTTCCCCACCTATTAAATATCCGCCAACAGACGCGAGGTAACGCGAGTCCCACCGTCGGCAGGTGAAGCAGCTTTTGAGCGCTTGTACTTGCTCGTCGCGGGAAAATCGGAGAAATTTTTCGCGCCCGCGCGCTCACGTGCACGTATTTATTAGGGAAAGTGACGGTGGTGCATTTATATATACACACGAGCCTCATCGATTTCTTGCCCCGTTCTTTTGCATCTATTGGAAATTAAGTATCAGCCTTTGATCCTTTGAATGCGGCGAATACAGCGAAGGTGGCGCAGTTGGGTATATACAACATTGGTAACTTGTTTCTATGCGGCCGGCACTGCAGGTTGTTTGAATATTCAATTCATTACGTATACTAGATTAATTTCATCTCGATAAATTTTACGATGACATTCACATTTAAAAAAAAAACAAAAAAAAAAAAAAAAAACTAGATTATCTCCACTATACGCATTAACTAATCCATCCGGTTGTACGCGACCTCGCGACTAATTTTGTTTTCTCTTTTATTTCCCCAAGCGATAGCCGGATGTGTCACTGGACGCATTTTCGACCCTCGAGCTTCCTCGTTTCTCCGTCTCTCGAGGAAAAAGTTAATTTTCCAAACGTCGATCGCGCGACACTCCAATTTCCCAACTTGAGGACCCCGCGACGGTGGCGGCAGAACTAATTACTAAAAAAAAAAAAAAAGAAAAAAAAAATAGAACCTCAAGGGAGAACTCGTTCCTCCACATACGTGTGCTCACGTATAATTAAATTCGTACACGTAACCACGATGCCGAGGAGGAGAGGAGGGTCACGCTCACATGTACCCATACATACATACATGCACATATTATTATTATTATTATCATGACAGACAAGTCCATTGAAAGCTATACGTACATACGGTTTCACGCGAGCTCGTGTATGTGTGCACAACCGACACCGATCCCACTGTATGTTATAACTGTAGATATTTACCTCCCCCGTGTTACACCGTATATAGGTATACCTACTCGTGTGTCGAGGCTTTTCCGCAAAACACACGGCTCTCCAGCTGCATCGTCGGATCGTGCAACTTTGTCCCCCTTTTGGGTGTATGTAATAAGGACCAGCTTCCCTTTCGCTCGTGGTTCAATCACGACTTGTTCGGTGTGGGGCGAGGCCGAGCGTGTCGCGTGTGACCCTTGGTAGTGGATGGATCGATCATTTTTTCATTTACAATGACAAGAGCAGAAATAAAAAAAAAAAAAAAAAAACAAAGTTACAAGCCAACCGGTCGTGCGACGAGTTTCGATTCACGACAATCCCGACCGCACAGCAATAATAACTCTTACACATCGAAAGAAACTCGTTTCTAAATCTGCATCCGTTTCGTGCCCAGTGGGCTTGCTTATCGAGGCGTGTAATGGAGCTTCGCACGGTGTACAGTTACATGGGCAATAAAAGTTTTTGATATCCAACGCACCGCAATTATGACTTTGGATAACAGGTACACGCCACATATATGTATATATATCTGATGATGATGTTTATATATGGATAGGAAAACCAATGCGGGGCACAAAAATTATCGCACGTACACGTTACAGTTGCACATTGTTTACCGTAACTCTGGAATCGGCGATTTTTAGATTAAAACTCGACATTTCGTCGAGTCAATTAGTACAACTCGGTGCAAAGACTAAGTTAGAGGTATAGCTCATGGAAAAACAAATTATAGTAGGTGCATGGTGACAAAGAAAAGACATGTACTTCCGAGAACAGTATTATACGTACAACGCAACGAATAGGTACTAGGTAACTCGTAAAATGAGCTGACAAACTCGGTTAAGGCCTAATTAATCGAGGCGCCGATGTACAAGCGACGCCCCCGCACCGCGTGTGTCTGTGTGAATCGTATAGGAGACGTAGCGCCCATTAATTACACGGCTCGTGAATTTTCCGCGTATATACTCGATTTACACGCTCACCTGACCTCGAAAGCAGAGCAAAGAGGTGCATCGTCCGAACAAACGAGTGTACGAATCAATTTGCTCGAATACCGGTTTTCGCGAATCGTGAGTCTCGTTGTAGTACGTTTGGTTTGGTTTATGAAAATTAATGTATTACCGTTACGTAGCCAAATGGAGCGGTTTAAGGCTTATGGAGATGAAGCACTTTTTAGGCGAGTTAAGGTGATGGATGCGCATGTCGTTGGAAAAAACTTTTTTACACCATTATATCGAGTGAATTCAAGTACTCCAATGATAAGTATACATACAACAACAAAAAAAAAAACCAAAAGTTATAAACTTTCTTTTATTCCTTTATTGGAGAGAAAAGGGTATCAGAGTGAGAGTATAAAACGAGCAAAACAAGTAAGTTCCATATTGTTTGATTCGCACAGGGGGGAAGTAGTAAAAACAACCTCGTGCTTGTGTATTACTCCCAATTAAAAAATCAATTTCACTCCTTCGCTCATTAAAGACCGAAAGGGGAGTATCTACACAACGATGCGAGTGCTCTCAATAAAACGAGCGTGATTTCAATTGCTCCCTTCCCACGCGATATCCCCTCTTCCCCCCCCCCCGCCACCCCTCCTTGATGATTAAGACATCCTTGAACTTTCGAATTTTTCGCAAAAAGAAAAACCATAAAATCCAATCAACCGCACCTGTACGACTCAAATCAGGAAGGATCATCATTTTTACGCTCGGCGCAAGCTCGTTGCACCTATGTACGTGATGTCAAGGAAGAAAAAAAAATCGAATCCCGTTTCGATCCCTCGAGTGAAATACATTTTAAAGCCGTTCGCGTCGATTGCAGCTGTGCGCCTGTGGTATGCTCGGAGCCGGCCTTTGGATGAGATTCAACTATCCGTACCAGTACGGCACCCTAGTGCCGCAGCACACCTACGCGTCTCTGGACGTCCTCGTCCTCGCGACTGGAGGCATCACCTTCGTCGTCGCCTTCTTCGGATGCTGTGGCGCCTGGTTTCAATCCCGGTGTCTCCTCATCACGGTAAACCCAAAATTCTTCCTTTTTTGTGGAGGGGGGAAAAAATAATGTACAGGTCTAACGGAAATTTCCCCACCATTGCAGTACTTTAGCTTGATAATCCTGCTGTTTTTGGCTGAATTCATGCTGGGTGCCCTGGCCTTTGTCTTCAAGGACCAAATAGCGGCGAATCTCAAGTCCGAGCTGCTCCAGGGGATAACCGAGCACTACACCGACAGGGACGTACACGAGACCGGGACTTTTGCCAACTTCTGGGATACCATACAGACCAATGTGAGTAAAGGCTTCGCACCCTTGAATCCCTAAGGATGCACGTATTTCCTGATGACCGAGAAACTCGTCATTTCCGATAAACATCGATTTCAAAAAAACAAGCGGGTAGTTTATACGAAGGAGGTGAAAAAAATCGACGCTGCTTTCACTCGCACACGTTGTACACACCTACCTATATAATAATCCCCGCGAGTCGCGTGTGTATACATATATATTGACACGGCATTGTTCGGTGGCTGTACGAGGACGAAAAAGAAAAAAACCCATCCGTGCGGAGAAACCTCCATACCCAGTGGTAATTCCCGATACCATCGGCGCGCACAGATGCCCCCCCTTTTATCACCGCGTCACGAAGCTCCGCGAAGAAAGTTCCTAGAGCCTCTCGTCTACTTATACTTACAAGCTTGTTTCTTTTTTTTTTTTTCGCGTTTGCCCCACTGACGCCGGAATGTGTTTCAATTCTCCGCTAACACAGAGATACATATATGCACTCGCACGTCCAAAAGCTCGACCAACGTATGTTGCGCACGGCCGGGACGGAGCTTTATTAGCGCGTCTCTCCCCTTTTTTTCGCCGTTTTCTCGCGATGGCACGGTTTACATCGTTCGCGTTGTATATATAGAAAGTTCACCGACCCAATGATCAATCGCCGTCGAGTATAACCATACACCGTCCCATTTTCCTTTCTTCTCCTCCGCTAAGACTATAACAACACAAATGATAATTATGTATGAAAAAAAACAAAAAAAAAAAAAAAAAAAAAAAAAAACATGTTTAGTTCCACTGCTGCGGCGTGAACAAGTACTACGAGTGGTACAACATCAAGGCGTGGCCGGGCGAGGAGCGAGTCCCGGATTCGTGTTGCAGGGTGCGCGAGCGGTACTGCGGCAAGCAGTACGACAACGAGGATAGGCAGTTGAATTGGTGGCAGGAGGGCTGCGCCTCGGCCGTCCAGCTTTGGCTGGTCCAGGGGCTGCACTTTGTCGGGACCGTTGGCCTAGTCGTCGGCTCCGTCCAGCTGTTCGGCCTCATCGCCAGCATGATACTGTTCTGCACGGTCAGGCACAAGCGATCGACGCACACCTACAAAAGTTACGATACCACGACGACATAAAAATACCACCCCGTACGGAACACTCGCTCTTTTTTTTTTCCTTTTTTTTTTTCCTTCCTTCCTTTTTTTTTATTGCTATGTCCATGCAAAGAGAATTTCAAGCTAATCGATCCGCGTGTACACATTATACACATTTATATATATATATACATGATAATATACATTTGCACGAGTATTAGTTGTTATCCCCCCGTAAGTGCGACAAGAGGGTGTGGTGTTAATTAACGCGCGTGTCGTTACTTTTTCTGGTGTGATTTGCAGCTCGTCGATCGTTACAGCAAGGCGGGCGAGATCAAGCTCTGCCGGTTCTGGATGAGGGACAACTTTTGAGATATTGGTGACGACGATATTACGACAAAGACTACCCATGTAGCCTTGCCCCTCCCCGACGATCGACCATCACGACAATCGACTGCCCAACCGTTACGACGCCACTTTTGTTTTAACTTTACCATATGAGCCAGATATTAATGAACCGCGCCTTTCGACCCACTTGGTGAACTTTTCTTTACAGTTTCGTTGCTTTCTTTCCTTTTTTTTTTTTTTTTTTTTTTTTTTTTTTTTTTTTTTTTTTTTTT